GCATCCCCTACAACACCGGCGACGGCATCCGCATGGCCCTGGACGTGGGCGCCCAGTCCCACGGCCACTGGAGCAGTTGCCACGCCGTGGCCTGGGATATGAACGCTCCCCCCTTCGGCGATCGCGTCATCACCGAGCTTTTCCAGAAGCATTCCTATCCCTTTGGCATCATCACCAACATCAACGGCGAGCGGTTCCTGGATGAAGGTTACGACTTCCGCAACTATACCTACGTAACCTACGGTCGTGCCCTGCTCACCCAGCCCCAGGGCGTAGCCTTCCAGATCTTCGACGACAAGGTCAAGCACCTGCTGCGCGACGAGTACTGGATTCCCCAGGTAACCATGGCCCAGGCCGACACCATCGAGGAACTGGCGGCCCGCCTGGACATCGACCCCCAGGGTCTGGCCAATACCGTCAATGAATACAACGCCGCAGTACGGCAGGACATCACCTACAACCCCACCATCAAGGACGGTCGTCGCACCGAGGGTCTGGCCCTGGACAAGACCAACTGGGCCGAGACCATCGACACGCCGCCCTACTTGGGATTCGCGGTAACCACCGGCATCAGCTTCACCTTCGGCGGAGTCAAGATCAACAACCGGGGCCAGGTGGTAACCAACGCCCAGGACCCCATCCCCGGCCTTTACGCCGCCGGCGAAATGGTGGGCGGCCTCTTCTACTATAACTACCCCGGCGGCTCCGGCCTCTCGGCGGGCATGGTCTTCGGCAAGCTCTCCGGAACCAGCGCCGGCCAGGACGCCAACCTGCTGAAGGACATTTAGTTAGCCCTTCGACAAGCTCAGTATGAGCAGGTAAAGTAAGTACTTAAACAAGGCCCCTCTCGCCATTTTCGGCTGTTGGAGGGGCCTAACTTAACCCGACCAGGGCAAGGAGGATGGACGGCATGATTCAAGAGCTGGAAATCCACAACTTCAAGTCAATCAAAGACCTGACCCTGCCCTGCAAGCGGTTCAACATCTTCATAGGCGAACCCAACACCGGCAAATCCAACATCCTGGAAGCGCTGGGGTTGGTTTCGTTTGTTGCAGCGCGAAAATTCGACTCGGATGCTAAGTTAGACGACTTTGTGCGGAATGAACGGGTGAGTAACCTGTTCTACGACGGAATAGTGGAAGATGGGATTGTTATTCGGTTTGACGAGTTCAAATTAGAGTGTTCGGTAGGTAACGACCACCTTTTCTGTGCGGCACTTTCGGGTTCTCCAGGACTTTGGGGTTATGTCGAAATAACAGAGAAGAAAGTAGTTGTTGACGGACGTTCTAGCGTGGTACAAGATCCCCCTCCCTCAATAAATTATTACAAATCTCCAGAAGTGGAGAGGTTTAAAGAATCATCTAGCTCATTTATGCATCCCCCATCCGGCAACAACCTGCTTTCTCTCCTGGCAAAGAAACAAGAGCTTCGAGAGATTATTGGTTTACCCTTCAGTTCTCTGGGATACAAGCTATGGCTACGTCCTCACGAAAACCAGATTGATGTGGCTAAAGATACTGGAGACATGGTTGTAACTTCCTTTCCATATTCGCTTGCGTCTGAAACGCTGCAGCGCATAACATTTTACACGGCCGCTATAGAAACTAACCAGAATGCCGTATTAGTCCTTGAAGAACCGGAAGCCCATTCCTTCCCCGGCGAGACCAAAATTCTAGCTGAACAAATCGCCATGGACGAATACGACAACCAGTACTTTATTGTTACCCACAACCCTTACTTCCTAATGCCCTTGTTTAGCAAAGCACCTAAGGACGATATATCAATAAATATTGTTTACAGCGAGGATTACCAGACCAAGGTTAGACCGCTTGAAGATGGGGAATTGTCCGAACTGTTTGAAATAAACATCTTTGCCAATCTTAGAAGGTACCTAGAAGACTAGTGCTCTACGTAGAATGTTTGGCGGACGAAGCCTTGGCCAGGTGCTTGGGCCTGTGCAAGAGGGACATAAGCCACGAACTCAACAAGGACGAAGTCTTGAAGCGAGTCTTTGAGGCTTCGGGTTGCTTGGGAATGGTGGACGAAGACCCTGACTCTAGACCACCAATTCAGTTAGGCAGAATGTTGAAACAAGAGGATTGCCTGGAGTGGGGCATAGCGCGTTACATTAACAGCAGACGAAGTAACCAGCTTATTGTGCTTTGTCCAAACTTAGAGAGATGGCTCATAAGAACCGCTGAAATAGCCGGAGTTCGAATTGGTGAGCCTCCTTATAGTCTGCCCACCAATTCTAAGTCGCTGCACAGAGTAATCAACGGTAGGCTTGATAAAGTGGCTCTGTTAGTAAACGATCTCCAAGCCGCCAACTCCCCGCGCATCCAAAAACTCCAGGAACTCCTAACCAGCTAACGAGGCACACGACCATGCCAACACCAGCCGAAATGCCAACCCGCACCCACCTCGCCCGCTTCGAGGCCGAGCGGCTGGCCTCCTACCTTGGCACCCTGTCCGCCGAGGGCTGGAACTACTCCACCGCCTGCGATCTCTGGCAGGTGGGCGATGTGGTGGGCCACCTGGTCTGGATTGGCGAGTTCTACGTAACCTTCGTCACCCGCGCCCTGGCCGGCGACCTTTCCGCGCCGCCCGGCTCGCCCAGGGACGAACGCTATGCAGCGCTGCCACCCGGGGACTTCTACGACCTGAAAGCCCGCGAATACCGGGACTACCTGGGCAACCAGATCCTGCCCACCTTTGCCCGCCGTTTCGAAGCCCTGAGCCAGGTCCTTGACGGGCTGACCCCCGACGACTACGACAAACCCTGCTTCTACCACTCCGGCAACCGCCCGGTGTGGACCCTGGCCGACCTGACCGTCCAGGAGTTGGCCGTCCACGCTTGGGACATCCAGTCCCATACCGAACCCGGCACTCCCCTGTCGCCGGAAAGCCAGCCGGTGCTGTTGGAGCGTGTGGTGCAGCGCCCCCTGCCAGCCCTGGCCCTGGCAGAGTCCTCCACCGGCCCGTCAACTCTAAGGTTCCAGCTATCTGGCACCGTCAATCACGCCTACGACATTACGTTAACCCCCGATGCCACCCGCTTGGAGTTGGCTGGCGATACCCCTGCCTCAACTGATCTGTTCTGCGACACCGAGACCTTCATAATGATGCTCTACCGGCGCTTGAACCTTGCCGCCGCCATTGCCGAAGGCCGCATTTCCGTTACCGGCGATGCAGCCCTGGCCCAGTCCTTTGCCAGCGCCTTCTAGCTCCTGTTATCCTGTCCATCCGGTTCATCCATCATCGAATCCCAACAGAGGAGACACCCATGCAAAATCCGGCGGAACGAGTTGAAGTCTTGCGGCAAGAGGTAGCCACCTTCAAGGAGCGGGTCGCCAGTCTGTCACCGGACGACTGGGACCGGCCCAGCGCCTGCTACGGCTGGTCGGTGGCCGACGTGATAGCCCACCTGTCGGGCCAGGCCTTCGCCCTTAACGTCGCCCGGGGTCTGCAGGGCGACTCTTCACCACCTACCGGGGCCGCTCCCGTAACCGACCACAACGAGGACGAGTTCGCCCGCAACATCTTCCAGCGCGCCTTCAATACCCGCGCCGAGTTCGGCGACCGGCTGCAGGAAACCCTTTTCCAGCGGCTGGACGAGTCGGTTGAAGTGTTTGACGGCATCGACCAGGGACAATGGGAAAACCAGTGCTACTGGCCCCCTGGCCCCGAACCGGTGCGGACCATGCTGGACATGCGCATCAGCGAACTGACCATGCACGCCTGGGACGTCTGTTCCCGATTCGACCCCGACTACCGCCTGTCCGATGGCAGCGTGCGGGTGCTGATGGACACCGCGAACCGCGCCGCCCGCCGCGCTTTTCGTCCCGACCCGACCATCCCGGCGCCCCAGGTTTACCGGTTCGTCATCGACCAGCCCGTTGAGGCAGTCTATGATCTGGTTATCGCCAACGAGGAAATATTTTTCGGTGAAGGCGAAGGCGGGGAGCAAGCCGACGCTGTTTTCCGGTGTGACGGCGAGACCTTCGTTATGGTTTTGTACGGCCGCCTGGATCCCAATGACGCGTTGGTCTCGGGGAAAATGGACTGGGACGGCGACGAACGGCTGGCCCTGGGTTTCGGGGCCCGTTTCTTGGGCGGATAGACCGGACACAACGAATAGAGAATCCACCTTAGTCGGCGGTCTTGAAGCAAGTGCTCTCCCCTGTTGCCGGTTCTCCAGCTTTCGGAGCAAAATCCAATCTCGAAAACCCAGGAAACCTCCGCTCAAGTCCCATCTCCCCTCGGCGGGACAATGCTGGGGCGTGTGCCAGTATTCGTATCCCAGCGTTCATTTCCTGCCTGAACAACTCCCTTCCCCCTTTTGACGGGGGAAGGTCAGGATGGGCGTGACGGCGCTAATTTCAAAGCCCTTCAAAGTCCCAGCTGGATATATCCCGCCACCGAAACCGCTGACACCAACCCCTTCCCAGCCCGTGTGACCCTCCTCTACCATAATTTCAGTAACTCATAACTTCAGTAACTATTGATGTCATACGGGCTGTTTGATCAGACCACTGCCTTCACACGGCCTGCTCCGTCAGGCAACCGGCATCACGGCTTGGCGCAACCCGTCGTTCCTGCAAAGGCAGGAACCCCGGCGTTTGGGTCCGAGACTCCCCCTGACGCAGGAGCAACCCTTGTGGTTGCCCTGGGCGTGGAAAATGTCGACCCCATCGGCAACACTACCCCAGCTACAAAATGGGGGCAAATGAGCGGAAATGGCAGGAAAACAAAAAATTACCCTGCTCCCCCAGGGACAGAACCGGGGGTAAGGGCGTTCCCGCCAACCCTAAACCCGTCGCGTAACACCGAACGCAGGGGCAACCCTTGTAGTTGCCCTGGACATGGAAAATGTCGCCCCCACCGGCAACACTGCCCCAGCTACAAAATGGGGGAAAATGAGCGGAAATGGCAGGAAAAACAAAAAATAATTAGCGAATATTCGTGCCCCTTCGTGGACAAAAACATCAGGAGGCAATCCCATGACCCTGTCCCAGATCAGAAACCGCGTCCAGGCCCTGCAACGCAAATACGCCAAGGAACTGGCTGTCTACCGACTCCGCCGCATGGCCGAGGAAATCTTCCACGACTGGAACGTCACCGTCGCCGACGGCAAGGAGGCCCCTGAATCGCATGCCGTAATCTGGCAGATAGCCCAGCGTGGCTTCCGCCTCTATACCTACACTTCCCTTCATCACTACCTTGCAAAGTGCAAAGAAGCAGGCAAAAGCCCCGAACCCCGCCAGATCGTAAGCGTCCTGCTCCCCTGGGCCGAAACCGGCGGCTACCTGGAAGGGTTCCGCTGGGACCTGCCAGCACGGGACTATTCGCCTTCCCCCTTTCAGTTGACGTAGGCAGGGGCAGACCTGGGTGTCTGTCCTGCAACGGGGCAAAGACCGGCCCCTGTTCCAGCCTGATCTCCCGTCTTTCCCGGGGAGTAGGCCAGGGGTTGAGGGAGAGTCAGGCACGCCCTGAGAGCCAACTCTGTCTTTTGCCCCTTTGGGGTTTATGCTATAATTTACCTTTCCGCGAACTGTCCCAATGCCTAGTCGTGCCACTCACAGAGCACAAAGTTACGGAGTGAATATCGGTGAAAGTTACGAAGGAATCGTCCAGCAATGTCGAAGTAATCATCAATGTCGAAATGGAAACCTCGGACGAGGACCCGTATATTGACCGATCTTACCGTCGAACCGTTGGCCGCCTCAATATCCCCGGTTTTCGCAAGGGAAAAGCCCCTCGCTCCATCGTTGAAAACTACGTAGGCCGCACCGCTTTGGTCCAGGAAGCCCTGGACTTCATGATCCCCGAAACCCTTAACCAGGTCCTTCAGGAACAGGAAATCCAGGCCTTTGTTGAGCCTCGGGTTGAAGTCATGGAACTGGAACCCGTTACCTTCAATGCCACCGTCCCCCTGGAACCCACCGTCGATCTGGGCGACTTCTACAATGTCAGGTTGGAAAAAGAAGAAGTCGAAATCTCCGACGACGAGGTTGACCGGGTCCTGGACCGGATCCGCCGCGAAATGGCCCCTTGGGAGCCGGTCAGTCGTCCCGTCCAGTTTGGCGACCTGCTGAACGTGAACGTGAAGGGCGAAATGGACGGCGAGGAAGTCGTCAACGATCAGGAAGTGGACTACATTCCTGAAACGACCAACGTCCTTCCTTTCCCCGGCTTTGCTGACCACCTGGAAGGGCTGGAAGAGGGCTCACAAAAGGATTTCACGGTAACCATTCCGGAGGATTATCCCCGTCCCGAGTACGCCGGCAAGGATGTGGCCTTTAGTGTGGAGGTCCTTACCATCAAGGAAAGGGCCCTGGCCGACCTTGACGATGATTTTGCCAAGGGCGTCGGCGACGGCTTCGACGATATGGAAGCCCTCCGGGCCCATATCCTTGAGCGCATTACCGGCGAGGCCGAATCCCAGGCCAGTTACGCCTTCCAGGAACAGAGCATGAACTCGCTGCTGGAAAGCGCCACTATCACCGCTTCCGACATCCTGCTGGAACGGGAAGTCCAGAATATGCAGGACGAACGGGAGCGAATGTTGCGTAACCAGCGCCTGGACCTGGACACCTACCTGAGCTATGTGGGCAAATCTCAGGAGGAGTTCCAGGAAGAGCTTCGCCCTATGGCGGAGGACCGCCTCAACCGCATGCTGGTGGTCCGCAAGCTGGCCCAGGAAGAGGAACTGGACGTTACGCCGGAGGAGATTGAGGAAGAGATTGAAACCATGCTCGCCGGCGCCACTGCAGAGAACGAAACCGCCATGCGCCGCGCCCTCAATGCCGAAGGCACCCGGGAGTCCATCCGCGGCTCCCTTCTTAATCAGAAAGTAATGGCGCGCCTGGTAGAGATTGTCCAGGGCTTGGAGCCCGGGGCTCTTGCCGAGCAGGCCGAAGAAGAGTCGGAACAGGAAATGGAAACAGAAACGGAAGCCGCCGCTGAATTGGAAACTGTCGAGGAAGCGCCGGACGGCCCGGTCAATGAAGCGGACGCATCAGACAATGAAGGAGCATAACCCAATGCTGTACAACCCCTCGCAACCTGTCAACCCGGAAAATCGCTCGCTGACTCCGGCAATGTGGCAAAACGGCCAGTTCAGCTTGAGCGGTTCCGCCGAGTCGGCATTGCACGTTCACCAGGGCATGGTCCCCCAGGGCATAATCCCCATGGTCATTGAGACCAGCCCCCGGGGGGAGCGGGCTTTTGACATCTACTCCCTGTTGCTCAGGGAGCGCATTATTTTCTTGGGCACTCCCATCATGGACCAGGTTGCCAACACCATAATCGCCCAGTTGCTGTACCTTGAGCGGGAAGACCCCGACCGCGGCATCAACGTGTATATCAACAGTCCTGGCGGCTCCATCACCGCCGGCCTGGCCATCTACGACACCATGCAAATGATATCACCCGAGGTATCCACCGTCTGCGTCGGCATTGCCGCCAGCATGGCCACCGTGCTGCTGTCCGGCGGGGCCAAGGGAAAGCGTTACTGTCTGCCCAACTCCACCGTGCACATGCACCAGGCCCAGAGCGGCACTCAGGGCGCAGCATCCGACATCCAGATTGCGGCCCGGGAAATAACCCGGCTCCAGGACTTGCTGCGGGGCATCCTCTGCGACAATACCGGCCAGCCCATGGAGAACATCGTCCGCGACAGCGACCGGGATAACTACCTGACCCCCAAGCAGGCCGTGGCCTACGGGTTGGTTGACGAAATCCTTGGCGAAACCAAGGCAGAGGAGTCTACGGAAGAGAAATCTACGGAAGAGGCATCTTCGGAGCCCGCAGAGTAACAGCAGCTTTAGAGAACCTCTGAAAATGTCCCTTCCCCCTTGACGGGGGAAGGTTAGGATGGGGGTGCTCGCGCTGAATGTCCCTTCCTCCCCAGCAGTGGAGGGGGGCACAGTCCCCAAGTTGGTACAAATTCTGAGTGGTGGTAGTGGCCTGTGGCGAGTCCGGACGGTAGGGAAACAAGAGGTAGAAACAGTAACCGGCCAGTGCAATGTTCCTTTTGCGGCAAGGCCCGGTCCCGCACCGAGCTGGTGCTGGCGGGGCAGGGTCGCGCCGCGGTCTGCTACGATTGCATCCGTTCCCTTGGCGAACTCGTTGAGTCCGAGGTCCCGGAAGCCGCTCCCTCTCCCCGGGCGCCCCAGCAGGGCCCCCTTGTACCACGGGATATCTACTCCAGCCTCGACGATTACGTCATCGGCCAGGAACGGGCCAAGAAAACCCTTAGCGTAGCCGTCTATAACCACTTCAAGCGCATCTGGTCTGGTGCATCTGGTTCCGAGGTAGAACTTCAGAAGGCCAACATCCTCCTCATGGGTCCCACCGGCAGCGGCAAGACCCTCCTCGCCGAAACCCTGGCCCGCACCCTCGACGTTCCCTTTGCCGTCTGCGACGCTACATCCCTCACCGAGTCGGGTTACGTGGGCGAGGACGTCGAGAACATCCTGCTCCGCCTCATTCAGGCAGCCGACTGGGACATTGCCCGCGCCGAGCAGGGAATCATCTACATCGACGAGATGGACAAGATCGCCCGTAAGGAGGGCGTCAACCGATCCATTACCCGCGACGTCTCCGGCGAGGGCGTGCAGCAGGAACTTCTGAAGATCATCGAAGGCTGCGTCGCCAACGTGCCACCCCAGGGCGGGCGTAAGCACCCCCAGCAGGAATTCCTGCAGGTAAACACCCGGAACATCCTCTTCATCTGCGGCGGCGCCTTTGAGGGCCTCAGTGAAATTGTCTCCAAGCGCATCACCACCCACGGTTCCCAGCTTGGCTTCCTGGGCGGCACCCGCAACCGGACCGAGGAGGACGGCAACATCCTCTCCCATGTAACTCCGGAAGACCTGCTGGCCTTCGGCTTCATTCCGGAGATGGTCGGTCGCCTGCCCGTCGTCACCAGCCTGGACCACCTGGACAAGGCCTCGCTGATTCGGGTGCTGACCGAGCCCAGGAACGCCATCGTCAAGCAGTACCAGTATCTGTTCAGTATTGACGGCGTGGAACTGGAGTTTACGTCTGGAGCGCTGGAAGCGGCGGCGGAACGGGCCCTGAACCACTACACCGGGGCTCGATGCCTGCGCTACATCGTTGAAGAAACCCTGCTGGACGTAATGTACGAATTGCCGTCCCTCAAACAGGTCAACCGCTGCATCGTCGACCGCGACGCCATAGACGGCCCGGGCACACCAACCCTGGAAACCGAATCCGGCGAAACCATCTCCCTCTACCCCGAACTACTCCAACAATCCGCCTGATCGCCCCTGCCCTGGAACCCGAACCCGTCTCCCGCCAGTCTCCCCAGGACAAACGACACTCCAATACGGGCAAATTCGTCGTTCCCGCGATGGCAGGAACCTTGAATCTGGAAGCTCAAGAACCCCCGCTTCCAGGAGAACGACGATACTTGGTAGGAGACGATACTTGGTAGGCCTGCAGAAGGCGTCTACCCTTTCAGTCTCCCTGAAGATTCAGTCACCCCTTTGGACGCTAAGCTGACCCGTCAGCAGCCATAGCCCGGTCTATCTCCTCATCAAGGCAAAGCCCCGGAGGAACAGTGCTGGCAAGCGGCAGTCCCGAGGCATTCAATGCCTGCCCATCCTTGACTTGCACCCTGCCCTCAGCAACGGCCCGAAGAGTCTCCAGAATCAGGTAGGGTTCCCGACGATACTCGGCCCGCCGTATCTGCTGGAACAGGGAAAGGTCTTCTCCCTGACTGGCCCGGACCTCCTCAAGGTCCAGTTCAGCCAACGCCAACCATTCCTGGTCGAAGTCGGGACCTGTTATGGGCGCGGAGCAATAGGAGACCACCGGCCCCCGGTCCAACTCCTCGGTTGCGAGGTGAATCATGGCGCCGGTTCGGGTGGCCCGCTGGCGAATCAACTCCCATATAACATTCTGCCAGGTGCCAATAGGCCCGTCTGGCAGGGCGGGATGCAGGTTGAGCATGGGGTAACTGCTACACATCTGGGCTCCCCAGATGAGCATATAGCCGGCGAGGACGCAGATGTCCGGCCGGAAATCCTCAAGGTCTTCCAGGACGAGGCGGTCGTACTCTGGGCGAAGCTCGGCCCAGGTAAGGCCCGAAGAACTGCGGGACCGGCGGTAGTGGGCGGAAGAGCGGGTCACCAGGGGCAGGTTATAACTGCTCACCAGATCAAAGAAGCCGTCGGACCCTTGGGCTTGGCCCTGGGCTCGATTGCTGAATACGAACTGAATGCGCGCATCCAGCAAGCCCCGTTCAATGCGTTCCTGGACAAACCGCAGCAACCCTCGGGAGCCCTCGCCCCGTCCGGTGGAAAACCAGCCAATGTTCAGCATTGGTTAGTCATCATTGGGAAGGTCCTCTTCGGGTTCCCAGTCTTCATCAAGGGGCGGCATCTCCAGGTCTCCCCAGGACAAGCCAGCGGACGGCGCGGGTGTTGCCCCGGCATTCTCCCGAATCTCGGCGATCCGAAGTTCAGTCTCTTCCAGGAGCTGGCTGCAACGCCGCACCAGGGCCATACCCTGCTCGAACATCTGGGCCGCCTGGTCCAGCGGAAGGCCACCGGCCTCCAGGGTTTCCACCATAGCTCCCAAACTGGTAAAGGCCTCTTCAAAACCAAGGGCCTGGGGCAGTGGAACGGACTCGTCAATCTGACCGTCTAGCATTTGGGCAGTGACCTCTGGCGAGGATGGAATCAGCGCAGAAAACAGTGTAACCCCGAAAGGAGTCGCGGGAAAGGGTTTGGAGCGAAGATAGAGTTGGAATTGCAGCGTTGAAACTGCACTGAGGTGAGCCCTGCCCCAAGTTTGAAGGCTAACCGGTCCCAGGGGGGTGGTCGGCGCTTTACTACAGCAGTCGTTCCATGCCCGGCGGTTCAGTGGGCCGCCGCCGCCCGCGTCGTTGGGTGGGTGCAGGGGGAGCAGGTGGGGAAGTGGGCGCAGGTTCCGCACTCGTCTCAGGAGCAGGCTCTGTCCCGTCAACCTCTGCGGATGACTGGGGTTCAATGGCGCTTTCCAGCTCTCCATCGGGCGGTTCAGCTGGCGCCGAGGGTTCTCCAGGATCAAGGACTGCGGGACTATCCTCCGGTGGATCAGAAATGGCAGGTTGATCTACCGGCAAGATACTATTCCCCTGTATTGGCTCGCCTGCCACCGTGCCAGGTATCGTTCCGTCGGCTACGGTTATCCTCAGCGAATCGCCTCCGGTCACCTGGCCAACCGAGGAAAACAACCGTGCCAGTGTCGCCATGCTGCACCACGGCAAACCCTCGCCTCAGCGTTGCCGCCGGATCCAGTGTGCGCAAACGGCTCTCAAAGTTATCAACTTCCAGCCGCGCCATTCTCAAGCGGTTGTTGAAGTTGTTGCCGAGGACATCGGCCATGTCGTCCACCTGGCGTTTCAGGTTGCCCAGATCCGGCAGGCCCGACTCCAGCCGGCGGGACAGATTCGCCACTTCAACCCGACCTGCTTCCACTGCCCGCAGTGCACCCCGCTGGGCCCGCTCAGTCCAGGCCGCAACGGTCTGCCGCAGGATGGCCCCGTCGGGAACCACCAACTCCGCCGCCGCCGAGGGTGTGGGCGCCCGCCGGTCGGCCACGTAGTCGGCGATGGTGAAATCAGTCTCGTGTCCAACCCCGCTAACCACCGGAATCCTGCTGCCGAAGATAGCGCGGGCCACAATCTCTTCGTTGAAGGGCCAGAGGTCTTCCAGGGAACCTCCGCCCCGGGCCACGATGATAACATCGGAACTGCCGTCCGCATCCAGACGCTCCAGAGCCGCCGCAATCGAGGGAGCCGCGTCCAAACCCTGGACCTGGGTGGGAGACAACAGCAAGCGGGCCAGCGGGTAGCGGCGGCGGACAATGTTCTGGATGTCCTGCCAGGCCGCGCCGGTGGGCGAGGTTACCACTCCGACTATCTCGGGAAACTGCGGCAGGGGCCGTTTGCGGGACTCCTCGAACAGACCTTCCTGGGACAGGCGCGCCTTCAACCGTTCCAGTTCCTGGGCCAGTTCTCCCTCGCCCTCGGGCAACACCCGGTCCACCATAAAGTCGGTGGATCCGCGGGGCTCGTAGAAGCTCATCCGCCCGTGGGCCCGAACCAATTTGCCGTTGTCGAGGATTGCCGCGCCACCCTGACCGCGAAACAGGACGCAATTCAACGAGGCAACACTGTCCTTGAGGGTGAAATAGGAATGGCCGGAAGAAGAGGCCCGGAGATTGGAAACCTCTCCGACAATCCACAGGTCGGAGAGGAAGGGGTTGCTTTCCAGCAACTCCCGCAGGTGGACAGCCACCTGGCTGACAGTGAGGACTGCCTGCTGCGGGAGAGTCAAAACGCTAGCTTACTCGTTCAGTATATTGGCCGTTACGGGTGTCCACCCGAATCACGGTGCCGGGGGTGATGAACATGGGCACGGTGACCCGCAGGCCCGTTTCCAGGGTGGCCGGCTTGTTGCCTCCCTGGGCAGTGTCGCCGCGGAAGGCCGGAGGAGTCTCCGTAACTTGCAGGTCAACATGGGTGGGCAGGTTGACGTTGATGGGCGAACCCTTGTAGAAGACCATGTCAGCCATCATATTTTCTTTCAGGTAGTCCAGGGTGGAGCCAAGTTGTTCCTTGGTTAGCTCGTACTGGTCAAAGGTTTCCTGGTCCAGGAAATAGAAATAGGTACCGTCGGTGTAGAGGTACTGGGTCTGCCGGTTGTCGATTTCCGCAACGGTGAAATCGGTATCGTAACGTTGGAAGGTACGCTCCACCACCGCGCCGGACAACAGGTTCTTCATTTTGATGCGGGTGACCGGCGCCCGCTGCTGCATCTTGTGCCGCTCATAGTCCATAACCTGCCAAGGCTGGCCGTCCAACTCGATAACCATGTTGCGGCTAAGGTCGCTAAAGTTAATGCTCATACCCGTCTCTTCCTTAAAAATTGCGCTATAAATAACTCTGCGTTGTACCAGGCTGCCGCAACGCAAAATACCCGTGGCTCAAATTGTTCGCCCTTACTTCCCCGCCTTGCTTAGCGGCGTGGCCCCTTTCCTCGCCCAGGATTACTATGTCCTCGATGCGGACGCCGCCCCAGCCAGTCAGGTAAATGCCCGGGTTCTACGGTGAAGACCATGTCGGGCTTGAGGGTATCGGGCGAGCGGGGGCCGACCCTGGGGTTTTCGTGGACGGCCAGCCCGACGCCGTGGCCCAGGCTGTGGCCGAAGTTGTCGCCGTAGCCAGCCTCGGCGATCACGTCCCGGGACAGTCCGTCACACTCCTCGCCCGTCAAGCCGGGGCGTACCGTGTTGATGGCGGTAAGCTGGGCACCTAGAACGATGTTGTAGATCTTGTGGAACATCTCGTCGGGCTCACCTACCACCACGGTGCGGGTGATGTCGCTGCAATAACCGCCAACCTGCGCGCCCATGTCGATGACAATGGGCTGACCGGCCTGAATTACCGAGTCGCTGGGCCGGTGGTGCGCCATGGCCCCGTTGGGACCGGCGGCCACTATGGTGTCAAAGCTGATGTTGTCTGCGCCGAACTCCCGCATGGCCACTTCCATGCGCCAGGCCACTTCCTTCTCCGTCATGCCCGCTTCAATGGCAGGGCAGACAAGTTCCATGGCCTGGTCCGAGGCGTCGATGGCCTTCTGCAGTTGGGCCAACTCTTCCTTGTCCTTGAAAATCCGCAGTTCTTCGGTGATGCCGGAGGTAGCTATAAGAGAGGTTCCACCAAGGGCTTCGTCCTCCTTAATGGCATCCAGTACCCCGGTTGTAGGAGGCAACGGTCATGTTGTCGCTCTCAAAGCCGATCCTCTTGACGCCGGTCTCCTTCAGAGCACCCAGCAGCCAGTCCAGGCCCGCCCGCATCTGGATAACCTCGAAATGGGGGGACTGATTGCCCGCCTGCTCCGTATAGCGGGAGTCGGTGAACAGCACCTTTCGCTCGGGGGTAACGAGCAGGTATCCGGCAGAACCGGTGAAACCGGACAAGTAGCGGCGGTTCTCGGGGGCGGAAATTAGAATGGCATCCAGTTCCCGTTCAAGCAGCAGGGAGGCCAGATGAGTTGCGCGTTCTTTCATGCGGACCTCTCCTCTTCGATGATACCTGCCATGATTTCTATAGCTGAAGTATAGCTTCTCCAGCCAAAGCCTGCAATTTGACCGCGGGCGATGTCCGCGACCACCGAATGGCGCCGCCATTCCTCGCGGGCATGGATGTTGCCCAGGTGGACTTCGATTATGGGCACGGCTGCATCAATGAGGGCATCCTTGAGGGAATAACCGTAGTGGGGTCAGAGCCCCGGGGTTGATGACAATGCCGTCGATGTTACCCCAGCTCTCCTGTATCCGGTCGACCAATTCCCCTTCCAGGTTGGACTGGTAGAAGGCAACCTCCACACCCAGGCAATCGGCCTTCTCGGAAATAGCCCCGTTGACCTCATCCAAGGTCCTGATGCCGTAGATGCCAGGGTTGCGCCGTCCCAGAATGTTTATGTTAGGCCCATTGAGGACCAGAATGCGAGTCATGGTGTAAAAACTTCCTTTATTATCGTCGACTAAATCTCTGGAAGCTTACGTAATAATTAGCAGGTTTTAACTGGACCTTGTACTGCAAGGTAATGACAGGCTGCCTTTCAAAGTATATACCAGTGGTACAACACTTGATGGCTCGGACGTAAAGATTATGGCCATTCAGGGTCAACTCTCTTTACAGGTAAATGCCATCGAAAAGCTAACTCACGAACACATCCAAACAGCCCAGGACTTCTTAGTTAAAGCCGAAGAGGAGTTTGGGGAGGAAGATATCCTCCAAGGTTCCGAGAAACTGTGGGGCGCAGCCACCCACGCCATCATGGCCAATGCCCAATTAAAGGACTGGCGTTCCAGCAGCCCCAGAGCTATGGGAGAGGCAGTCGTAAGGCTGGGTGAAGAAGAAAACGATGTATCGCTGTAGGCGGGTTTGGGGTAGCGGAAAAGTGCCACGCTAACTTCTATCATGACTTCAAGGAAGATCACGAGTTGGACAGAGCGCAGCAAAGCGTACCATGCTTTGTGCATCACCTGCTGGACTTAATACCCCCGGGTTGATGGATTCCAGAGCTAGCCGACTCCTCTCTCAAATGCGCCACTTGCCTGATCTGCAACTACCGAAAAAGGGCCTGATGAATAAACTCCAGGCCCTTCGCACTTAGGGCAACTCTTACCCCTCTCTCAATGCCTACGGACTGTAGCCGGACTCACTGGGTCTGGGTGGTTCAGGGGGGACGAAACGAGTCATGTGGTCCAAAATCAGCGTGAAGTCCTGGTAAGCTGTCAGATGACCCAATTGCCCCTGGAGCAGTCGCAGACGCCGCTGCAGATCTGACAGTTCCCAGTTCACATCGGAATAGCCCACATAGCCTGAGTAAGGAAGGCCGCTGTAACGGTCCGCGGCCAACGCCACCACCACCCCCAACTTGAGCAGGGGATCGCCCAGGGTATCGAATTCCTGTCTCCAGTGCCCCGACACAACACCATATTGTTCCCTGGATGCGCCGCTGCCAGGTTCTACCCAACGGATTTCGATATCTCCAAATTTCGCTGTGCTGGCCTGTCGCTGGAAAACCTGGTCGGTCAGTTCCAGTTCGTAAAACACGGTGGTTGCCGTCCCCGAGGGTATCTCTGCGAATTCCTTCCGGTCTTGGGTGAACAATACGTCGGCGGCCACCCGGTTCTCGTAACCAACGATTCGCCAGGTCCGTACCATGCTCGGGTCCCAGCTGACCTGGGCGCGAGTCTGGTCGGCAAACGGGATAGCCAGGTTCAGCCAGTTGGCTTCACTGAAAGTGGTTTGAGCCTGCTGGACATTGTCCAGGTACCGGTACCAGCCGTTGCCGTGCTGGGCCAACTGCTCCAGAAGGTAATCGTTATAGTTCGCGATGCCCACACCAATGGTCACAAGCCGCAGAGGATTCTGATTGTTGGAGTCCCCCACCGTTTCCAAGATGGCAAAGGGGTTGGTGGCATCCACATTGGCCACTCCATCCGACATCAGTATGACGTAGTTGATGGCGTCGGGCCGCCGCCGCCGGGCGTCATCGGCCAGTTGTACGCCCTGGTTAAGTCCCGCTTGTACGTTGGTGGCGCCCCCGGGCTGAAGCCGTTGTATAGACCGCAAGATTCCAGCATCTCCAGGGCTGGTGTGTCTCACCGTCAGTCCATTTAGAACCACGTCGCTGAAGTGAACGACAGCTATGCTGTCCTGGGGCCGAAGGCTTTGCCTGATACTCTCGGCAGCCTGCCTGGCAATATCAATGCGGTTCCCGTCCGCCATGGAACCTGAGGCATCAAGCACCAGGGTTACGTTCAGGGGCCTTGAATCGTCCTGCAGGTCCGGCGCCTGAATCCCCACGCGAGCTATGTACTTGTTACCCTCAAGGGGATGCTTGGAATACATCGGTGTGAATGGCAAACTCTGAGGTGCGGACGGGATGGTCATAACCATAACCAAAAGAGTTGATCCACTCCTCTGCCCGTACCGAGTCCGGTTCGATTTCGTAACCCTCTCTTGCCCAGTTCAGGGCCAGGCGGTAAGAGGTGCGGTCAGTGTCCAGGCTGAAGGTGGATACCGCGTCTTCATACGTTGAAATAGTCGGCCGGCGAGGGTTGTCCTGGAAGGTTGTGGCCCCTGGCTGGCTTTGCCCACTGGCCGAACCCCTCGGAGCCGTAGAGGGCGCCGGGGTAGGGGCGCTGGGACTTACACCATTCGTCCCAGCCGTACCCACTAAAAATGGCGGAGTACCAGTACCAGCATGACCAGGGGGGCCGGCAGAGCCCGCCGGGGCGCCCTGTGGGCCCGCCGGACCCACAGGTCCAGGAGGCCCTGCCCGACCCATTGTAGCTGTACCTTGTGGGCCACTGGACCCTTGTGCGCCCGTAGCGCCCATTGCACCAGCCGGCCCGGCGGGGCCCTGTTCACCGGCGGGACCTGATTGGACGGCTGAGTCCGACTGGGCGGCGGCAGGCTCCGGTTGAATAATCATTGCTTCTACAGCAACTTCCTTCTCTACCTCTACCACTCGTTCAATAACGGTTTCTTGCTGCGCCATCTCGTCGCTGGGAGCAGACATCGCTTCAGGGACGGCGGTCGGCCTGGACTGGCTCTGGGGAGAAACCACCAATGCCGTGGCCGGAACCGGTCTCGATTCCTGGCTGATGGCCGATTCTGCCATGGCGGCTGGGGGAGTGGGAGGGGCGGCATTCATCGTCGCGCTATCTTCTGCAACTACGAAGTCTTCCACCGCTTGCACTGAGGAGGAGTCCCCCGGGAGAGCCCGGTCATCCACTGATTGCGCTGAGGAAGGCTCGCCTGCGGAACAAGCAGCGATGGCAACCGTCAAAAGGGCAACCAACACAAATGCCAGGAACTTGTGCTTGATAAGCATATCAGTACTACCTCCTCGAGGTCCGTGCGTTATGAGAGTATGACGTAACAGTAAGAGATTTTGTTCCCAGGCGGCGACTCTGCTCCATTGAGGATACTACAGAAGCGACCAACCGGCCTGTCCGTGGTTTGCTAGACGATGCAACTGAAATAGCCGGATTCGCCGGGGCCAATACTTACAGTTTTGCCACTACTCCTTGCCGGCCCGGGGGTGGAAACTGAGGTAGGCGTTCTTCGCTTCCTGCTTGGTTATGTGGGTGTAAATTTGGGTCGTGGTGGGGCTGGAGTGGCCCAGCAGTTCCTGGATTACCCGCAGGTCGGCCTCACCCTCCAGCATGTGGCTGGCAAAGGTATGGCGCAGAGTGTGGGTGTGGACGCCGTCGCGAAGGCCCGCTCGGGCCGCATACCCCTTCACCAGCTTTTCGATGCTGCGGCGGGAGAGGCGCTTGCCGTAACGGTTGAGAAAGAGCGCCTCGCTGGGTCCGTCCATGAGTTGCGGCCTGACTTCTCCCATATATTTTTGCAACGCGTCAGAAGTGGGCTGACCGTAAAGCACCCACCGCTCCTTGGAACCTTTGCCTTCCACCAGTATCTGCCTTTGGGCTAATTTGAGATCCGGCAAGTCCATTCCTTCAATCTCGGCCAAGCGGACACCGCAGGAGTAAAGCACCTCAAGAATAGCACGGTCCCGAATACCGAAAAGGGTTTCCTCGTCCGGAGTTTCGAGCAGCCTTACCGCTTCCTGCTTGCCAATAAAAGAGGGGAGAGGTTTCTCCATTTTGACTTGGAGACTGCGTCCCGAAGGCACCGGGCTGTGCTTGAACAAGCCCTGCTGCACTAGAAACTGGTAGAAACAGCGGAGGGCGGTCAGTTTCCGGATTATGCTTACTCGAGCGTAACCCTCCTTCTGTTTTCGTCCCGAATACGGGTGTTTCGTTTCCCTGGCCTCGGTGGCCAGCCACGCTAGGTAGCTGCGAGCCATACGGCGGTTCATTTCGGTAACGGCCCGGCCAGTTTCGGAGAGGTAGCGCAGGTAGGAAACCAGGTCGGTCATGTAAATCCGGACCGTGTTATCGGAGAGGCCCCGCTGCCCACGCAGGGTAGGTCTCATATTTCTCGACCAGTCCTGCCAGATCAATTTCCGGATGCGATTCCTCGTCGTCAGTTCCGGCGTGCGAGGGTGGAGCTTCCTCCGCAACCGTGGTTGGCACGTGCTCCGCATTGGGAGTCTTCCCATTCTGGGAAATAGATACATCTATGCTAGCTTCTCGGCGGCCTTCCAGATCAACCATGCCCACTCCTCCAACACTTTGCTGACCGGAACACCTCGATTCTAGGGAATAGCTGGGCTGGGTGCCCCTACACCCGCTTGTCCAGTATCGGGGAATCTGCCAGGTTCAAGATGCCAGAGGAGATTCAAAGGGCAGACGTTGAACCCTGAATAGGGCACGACAGATTTTAGGAATCATTCATTGGCAAAGTAGCAATAGAACGGTCGATTGGCTTCGTGAAGGAAAAAAAACAGGCCCGCGACTTGAGCCACGGGCCTGTTGGATTCACACTCTGGGTGCAACCTGATTGAACTGCTGCTCAGTCCCCGACGGTAGCCAACTCCTGTTCCTGACTGGACCCAGACGCCTCGGCATCTGTGGCTTCCGGGGCGGCGGCTTTCCAGGCGCACACGGTGCAGGCGCTGCTGCCATCCCGGTTCCCCACCATCAACCCATCGCACTCCGGGCAGGGGTCTGGCAGGGGCCGCCGGTTGTTGGTGTACTTGCACTCCGGGTAGTTGGAGCAACCGTAGAACACTCCCCGACGACTGCCCCGTTCCACCAGGTCGCCATCGCAGAGAGGGCATTTGGCGCCAGTCTTCATCGGGTGGGTGTTCTTGCAGGTGGGATAGTCACTGCATGCGATGAACTGCCCGAAACGCCCGGTCTTTAGCACCATGGGCTTGCCGCATTGCTCGCAGATTTCATCCGTTTCGGTATCGGCGGAGGCACTGGCGCCCTCACCCGTTTCCTTGATCTGACGGGTGGTACGGCACTGGGGGTAGCCGGTGCAGGCCATGAAGCGACCGAAACGGCCGGTCTTGATGACCATGGGTTTTTCACAATTCTCGCAGACTTCGTCGGTTGCCTCGTCCTCCGGTTTCACCCTGGGCATGTTCTCGTTGGCATTGTCCAGGTGCTCGGCAAAGGGGCCATAAAACTCCTGTAGCATGGGCACCCATTCCCGCTCCCCCTGGGATACCTCGTCCAGCTTTTCCTCCATGTAGGCAGTGAAGTCGGGGTCCATTATGTCGGTGAAGAACTGGGTCAGCAAATCCGACACAGTGGTACCCAACAGGGAGGGATGAAGGCTGTTGTTTTCCTTGGAAACGTAGTTGCGCGCCAGCAATACGCCGATGGTGGGTGCGTAGGTGCTGGGCCGTCCGATACCTCTTTCCTCCATCGCCTTAACCAGCGTCGCTTCGGTGAAGCGCGGCGGCGGTTGGGTAAAGTGCTGGTTTGCCTCAAGACTATTGCAGTTGAGGGCATCCCCCACGGCAAGTTCCGGCAAAGAGTTAGAAGCCTCTTCGGCGTCTCCCTCGTCCTTCCCTTCCATATAGAGAGTCCTGAAGCCGGGGAACTTGAGCACCGACCCCCGTGGCCCGGAAGTTGAACACCCGCCCCTCTTCGCCGTCGGCCAGGGGTTTGCAGGCGGCATCAATGTTGACAGTGGTAGCGTCCGAAAGAGCGTCGGCCATCTGGCTGGCCAGCATCCTGGCCCAGATGAGGCCATAGAGCCGGAATTGCTCGGTGGTGAGGTACGGTTTCAGTGAATCTGGGCTCCGGCCTATCGCGGTAGGCCGAATTGCCTCGTGGGCTTCCTGGGCAGACTTGGTGCGGGTGCGGTAGGCGCGAGGTTTGTCGGGCAGGTAATCCTTGCCATACTTGTCGCCTATATACAGGCGGGCTTCCTGTACGGCAGTTTCCGCCACCTGGACCGAATCGGTCCGCATGTAGGTTATCAGGCCCACCGACCCTTCGCTGCCCACCGTGAGCCCTTCGTACAACTGCTGGGCCACTGACATGGTACGCTGGGCAGTGAAGCGGAGTTTGCGCCCGGCTTCCTGCTGCAAAGTGCTGGTGGTGAAGGGCGCGGCGGGACGTTGGCGTACTTCCCGCTTGCGCACCTCGGCAACGGCATACGCGGCTTCCTTCAACTCGGACTCATAGCCCCGGGCTTCTTCTTCCGCCGAAATGGTCAGACGCTGGCGATTGCCCTTGATAGAGTGAAGGGCGGCTGGAAACAGGTTCGCCTTGGTAGCTTGGTCGGCGGCTTTGTGAAGCTCGGCATCCAGAGACCAGGATTCCACAGGAATGAAGGCCTGGATTTCCTTCTCCCGGTCGGTCACCAATCTGAGGGAAACCGACTGCACCCGCCCAGCGGAAGTGCCACGCTGCACCCGCTTGCCCAACAGGGGGCTAATCTGGTAGCCCACCAGTCGGTCAAGAATGCGACGAGCCTGCTGGGCATTGACCAGCTTCATGTCTATTTCACGAGGGTGTTTGAACGCCTCTTCCACGGCGTCCTTGGTAATTTCGTGGAAGACCACCCGCTTGGGCGGATTGGCGGTGGCCTTGTCCCAGCCGGCGGCGGTCTGCAAGTGCCAGGAAATGGCCTCCCCTTCCCGATCCGGGTCGGTAGCCAGATAAATGTCGGCAGCCTCGTCTCCGGCCCGCTTTATCTCCTTGACCAGGGGCATCTTGTCCCGCATGGTGACGTAGGAAGGTTCAAAATCATTGTCCAGATCCACACCCATTTTGCCCTTAGGCAGATCACGCACGTGCCCCTGGGAAGCGGTTACCACGTACCTGTTGCCCAGGATCTGACCCACGGTGCGGGCCTTGGCCGGGGACTCGACTATGACCAAGCGCTTGCCGGAAGCAGCCCCGATCCTGTGTGCAATCGAATCTCTAGCACCTCTCTGTGATGTTTTTCCCCGTTTAGGAGATGAAGCTCTGGAAGGTGTTTTTCTGTCGGTACCCAATGCACTTCCGTTACGCTTTTCTAGTACCTTGACCAAGGCTTCCTTAACTTCGCTCCTGCGCTCTGTCTCCTGAATTCGTTCCTTCTTATAGTACTTTACGTCGGGTCCAGATGGGGAAATGGGGTTAGTTCCAAGTTCGTCGGGATCTCCCAAGTATCGGTCGATTAGAGTATCGGTCCAGCCCCACTTCTTCAGGGCTGAACGAGAGACAATGTCAGGATAGTCTCGCTCCTCCATGCTTCTGCTAAGGGCGACACTCCGATTTCTTGCCTTCCCCGGCGCATCCTGAAATTCCGAGGTCTCCTCTACATTAAGAACTCGCTGGCGGTCGTACAAATGGGCCGCAGGAAACCCATTCCTTCCTGACTCTTTGGTCGAATCAGGTCCACCGAGCAACCGTTTAATCATGCCATCTGTCCAACCTCGACTCTTCAAGTCAGCTCGGGTGAACATGTTGCCCTTGGCATCGCCGTCGACGGCTCTTGCGATCGTCTTGCGGGCAGCGGCTTTGGTGGCCGCCTTCGCCCGTGTAGACTTGGCCTTTACCGTGCGCGCAGTCATACTGGCCGGCTTCTTTCTGGAGGACTTGGCTTTGGACCCTGTTGTTTGCTTAGTTGCCATAGCTTGGGGCTGCCTCCCCTGTTTTGACGTAGTGCATCCCGCCCACCTGTTTAACCAGACCCTTCAGCTCCAGCATGGTCAACAGGCTGCCCACCAGGGTAACGGGCAAGCTGGCCTCCCGTCGAATGTCGTCAATGTGCATTGGTTCGTGGTCCAGGCAGCGAGGCAGGTGAGCCTCGCCGTCGGCATCGGGGCTGGGCGGCAGGTCTTCCGCCAACCTCATTTCAATCTGCCTTGCGACCACTCTCAAATTCAGTTCTTCAAGGATATCACTGTGACTGGTAACAAGCTTGGCGCCGTCCTGGATAAGCCGGTTGGTCAAGCGGCTGGCAGGTGAGAAAATACTGCCCGGTACACAGAAGACCTCTCTATTTTGCTCCAAGGCATGGTAAACCGTCCAGCGGGCCCCGCTCTTTTCTCCAGCCTCCACCACCAGTGTGCCAAGACTGATGCCACTTATCAAGCGATTGCGGCGCGGGAACCCGCGGGGATCCGGCCTGGTACCCAGGGAATATTCGCTTATCACGGCCCCTTGCTCTTCTATCTGTCGACTGAGATTCGCGTTGTCCCTTGGATAAACAATATCCAGCCCGTTGGCCACCACCGCTATGGTACGGCCACCCTGGGTTAAAGCAGCACGGTGGGCCGCTGTATCTATTCCCAGGGCCAGTCCACTGGTTATGGTAATTCCGTTGCCCGCAAGGTCACCGGCCAGTGCCGTCGCGACTTCCCGTCCATAGGTCGTGGGGCTTCGAGTCCCCACAATTGCCACGGCGCGCTCATCCTCGGGCAACAGGCTTCCTTTAACGTATAGCACCGGCGGCGGGTCGTCAATCTGCTTGAGGCGCGGCGGGTAGGCCGGATCGTGCCAGGTCAGGGCCTGGACGCCGGCTTTTTCCAGCCGGTCCACTTCAGCGTCCGGTGATATTTTGCCACGGGCCTCCACCAGGACCGTGGCGGTCCGCTCTTCCAGCCCAGCGGCCCGCAATTGCCCGGGGCTGGCCTTCCAGGCATTACCCAGATCGCCGAAGTAAGCCTCGAGTTTTCTGAACCGCGTGGTGCCCATACGGCGCACCTGGTTCAAAGCAATCCAATATTTGGTCTGCTCCAGATTCATGGCAGCGATTCTAGCACAGGGCGGAAAAGGGGAACAATGACGGGGTGTCAGTGGTGGTGGCGGCTGTAGCTTCTGTTGGCTCTTACTCAACACGGGATGAGCAAGACTGGCTAAGTGCTTACCCCCGCTCGAAACGGTTTTTCTTACTCAGGAGAAGTAAATCCTTCCTACCTAACTTGACGCTTTTGACGGCTTATTCTACACTTCACACGGCTATCCGAGGTTGCCTCCGTTACATTGGTTTTTGGGGCAGTATGGCACTCTTTTTCAAGGCTGAGTTACAAGCGTTATGAACCTAAAAGACTATATCCGCGATATTCCAGACTTCCCACAGCCGGGCATTCTGTTTCGCGACATTACCCCTCTCTTGAAAAGCCCTGAGGCCTTCAACTACGCCATTGAGCAGATGTCCCAAAAGTGCCAGAACCTGCAGGTGGACGCCATCGTTGCCGTCGAGTCTCGCGGCTTTATTTTTGGCGCTCCCCTGGCCTGCCAAATGGGCAAACCCTTTATTCCGGTGCGCAAGGAGGGCAAGCTGCCCGGCGAGACCGTTTCAGTGGCGTACACTCTCGAATATGGTTCCAATGTAATGGAGATGCACCTGGCTGACGTGAATGAGGGTGATCGGGTCCTTATAGTAGACGACGTGCTAGCCACCGGCGGCACACTGCTGGCAACAACCGAATTGGTTGAGAAAGCGGGAGGACAGGTCGCCGGCATTGGTCTGCTGATCGAGCTGGAGGGTCTGGGCGGGCGCAATGTCCTGGGACACTACGACATTTTTTCTCTTATTCAATATTAGGCATTGGGCCCTCGCCGGAATCTCCCGGACGAGGGCCGTAGAACCCAACACAGCAACAGTTGGCTATAACCATTTAAATATCCGGACTGAACCGAGACAGGAGGAAGAGATTTATGGCAGACAGAGCTACTGTAGGCAGTTACGAAATTACCGCCGTTATAGACATGGTGCCACCCCCACGACCCACTTCAGCGATGTTCCCGGACGTTCCGGAAGGCGCGTGGGCGGATTACCAGGACGTGCTTGAAGACGGGCAGTTGCAACTTTACTACGGCGTATTCGTAGTGCGGTCCGATAACCACACCGTGCTGGTGGACACGGGCATGGGCCCCGGCCCACACCCCAGCCGAGGCAACATTGTCGGCAACCTTTACGAAGAACTGCGGCCCGTCATGCTGCCTCCCAACGTGGACATTCACAACACCAATGTATCTCCGTCTGACCAGGTTAACTTCGTCATCCACACCCATCTCCACGCCGACCACGTGGGCTGGAACCTGCGTTACTCCGGCGGCATGCCGGCTCCTAACTTCCGCCGGGCTCGTTACATCATCCCCAAGGATGACTATGACTATTACACCCAGCCGGAAATCCTGGAGCAGAACCCCCACGTGCAGCAGCAGATAATGCCGCTGCGCCGCCTGCGCCTGCAACAGATCGTGGAGGGCGAGTACGAGGTCACCGACGGCATATCCACCATGCCGGCCGTGGGGCACACCCCCGGACACCAGGTGGTGCTGGTCAATTCCGGAGGCGAGAAGGCCATGCTGGTGGGCGACCTTCTGCACTGTATTGCCCAGGTAACCGAGCCAAGCTGGTGCGCATCCGTTGACTATGACAAGGCCGCCAGCCATGCCAACCGCGCAGCGCTGCTGGACAAAGCGGAGAGCGAGGGCTGGCTGATAGCCGCCGGCCACTTCCCGCCGGGCAAGCAGATCGGCAGGGTGGTCACCGAAGGTGGCAAGCGCCGCTGGCAGTCGCTTTAATAAGACCCTGTACTACCCAAGCTCTCCATGCACACGGAGGTCAGATATCGCCTCCGTGTGCTTTTGCATCGTATTGTCGATAGTATCGACCTGCACCGCTTGTCTAACCCCGGTTCCTTTGCTACAATCGGCCCGTTAAGCCCGACGCAATCAGGATAGATGGTATTAGCTGATACGGCGGCTGACCGGCCAGGCAAACGGCGAATGCCGGTGAAATGTGCCTGGCAATTCAGTAATGGCTTGAAATGTGACAGGAGGAGGTAGCATTATGCCATCGTTTTGGGAGAATCTCAGGTTCGCTGGCGATCGCGAATTTGATGACTTGCACGGCTATCAGGGACTGGATATGGTAGCCTATGTTAGCCATCCGGCCCCCAGTGAAGGGGTCAGTTGGCCGGCGGTAATCGTCATCCAGGAAGCCTTCGGAGTCAACGACCACGTCCAGAAGGTTTGCGATCGCTTCGCCACCAATGGCTACGTAGCCATCGCTCCCGCAGTTTTTCCACCGGGAACACCCCAACCCCAAGCTGGGCTACACTCCCGAAGACTTTGACCTCGCAATCAACCGCTATATGGCCGCGCTACGGGACGACGAACTGGTCCAGGACGTCAACGCCACCATTAGTTTCATTCAGAAAGAGTACCAGCGAACCGTAGGCCAGAAGGTGGGCATCGTCGGCTACTGCGTCGGCGGGCGGATCACCTACCTGGCAGCCACCAGTTGCCCGGGCCTTGACGCCGCCGTAGCCTATTACCCCGGCCGTGTTATGGTTCCCTTCGGCGACGACAACCCCGCTCCTATCGACCTGACCGGCAACATCAAGATTCCGCTGATGGGCAACTTTGGCGACCAGGACGCCAACCCTACTCCGGATGATGTGACGGCGATTGAGGCAAGGCTGGATGCCGCTGGCGTCAGCTATGACTTCAAGATGTACGCCGGCGCTGGGCACGGGTTCAACTGCGACGACCGTGATAGCTACGACGCAGCAGCATCCGAGGACGCCTGGGCTCGCACGCTGGGCTTCTTCGACCAGCACCTGAAGAGCTAGAAGTCAATTTCTTACCGGTGGACATGGCTGTCCACTAAATTGGTGAAAAGAGGGGCCCGGGCGTTTAGCGTCCGGGCCCTTTCTTGCCGTCCTCGGGAGAGTCATGTCATAGCGCTAGGGAGCATTGGCATGGCTATATGATAAGCCGCGACCAATTAGTATTACGGTTCGGGCAACTACGCCACCCTGTCAATTCTGGTCCAATAGGCTCGCCCTGAGCGGATTAGGCAGCAGAACCTCTCTTACTGAGCTTGTCGCGGGCACCCGTGATGGCGATATTTCTTAAGATTGTTTCTAATACAACCGCATCACCTAATTCCCGGTAGGTTCAGGCAGCGTCGAAAATATGGCCGTTCAGATGTCCCCCGATTGCCAGGCAACAGACGTGATGAGCTAAGGAACCTCTGAATAAGTCATCGACATTGCAGAGAAAAGCCAAGTCCCAGAGAGGAGCTTAAGGGCGTCATCTATGAAATGAGCGCCTGCACCTCCATCCTGACCTTCCCCGGCTTTGCGGAAAAAGTTGGTGTTTTAGGCGACTTATTCATCAGTACGAATACTTTTGCATCAACCGTATGCGTGGGCCTCTTCCGAATACGCTCTCAGGAGCAACCGTAGAAAAGGGGCCGGAGCGATTGACGTTCCGGCCATCTTTTTGTAAAAACCCCTTGCCTTCACATGGTAGCCTTGAATCAAGCGGGGAGTTTTGCGACCTTGTCCTCCCAAGTAACGACTCTGACGCCCTGCTGAGAGGAGTATAACGACGTATGGCTGGGCCTAGAATGAAGAAGGCACGAGTGAGAGACAAGGATATGTGTGGAGTTCATTTAGGGGGGTGTGGGGAGCTTGTCTCTGAGAAGAAGGAGCGTAGCCTAGACCACATAATACCGGAGGCGTGGTTCAGGAGTGCCAGCAATGGCACAACATCGCCAGATTATAATGATATGTGGAACCGACAATTGATGCACAAGACCTGCGACAATGCCCAAAAAGGCGGTCACGTCCACGGTCTTCCAGTATTCTGGTGCCACTGTCATTATCTTGAAGTTTTCGGGAAAGACTTGTTCGTGGTTATTCGTGATTCCGAAACCACCGACATACCAGAGAGACATTTGATGTTGAAAGACTATGTAAACGTACCTAGCGACAACCCACATGGTTTGGGGATTTTCGTCAACCCTATTTCCAACATTCCCAAATCGTGGCCCAAAGATGGTGCATTACGGATGGAAGCACTAGTAGTTAGTCAAGGGAGAACTGTCAGGCATAGCAATAGCAGGAGAGCAGTGGTAGCGTTATAAGGTACGCGGTGTAAGTGTAGTGGGAGGTGAGGGGTCCATGGTGCAGAAGAAGTATGAGGTCAGGCTCTCATCAGAGGAAAAGGGTCATCTGCGGAAAGTGGTCCGGTCGGGCCGGAGTTCGGCCCAGGCGATCACCCGGGCACGCATTCTGCTGAAGGTGGATGAGGGCTGGACGGCTGCCAAAGTAGCAACGGCCCTGGACATCTCGGAGCGGGACGGTAATACGAGCCAGGAAAGCGGTATGCGCAAGAGGGGTTGGAGGAAACGCTGCACCGGCGCAACCATGTCAACCGGTACCGGAAGCTGGACGAACGTGGGGAGCTCATCTGATTGCCCTGGCCTGCAGCCCAGCGCCCCAGGGCCACGACCACTGGACCCTGCGACTTCTGGCGGGGAAGACGGTGGAACTGGGTCTGGTGGAGTCTTGTCCCACGAGACGGTGCGGCTACACTTGAAAAAACGCGCTCAAGCCGTGGCAGAAAGCAGCAGTGGTGCATCCCCAAGGTGAGTCGACTTCGTGGCCCACATGGAGGATGTCCTGGACTTGTACGCCGAGCCCTACGATCCCCAGCGGCCGGTGGTCTGCTTCGACGAGAGTTCCACCCAGTTGCTGGCCGATTCCGTCCGTCCCTGCCAGCGGCCCCGGGACGCCCCAGGCGAGAGGACTACGAGTACGTGAGGGGCGGAACCCGCAACCTGTTTCCTCACCTGCGAGCCAGGGCTGGCTGGCGCCACGTGGCTATCACCAGGCAGCGTACCATGCAGGACTTCGCCTTCAGATGCGCTGGCTGGTGGACCAAGCCTACCCAGACGTACCGGTGGTCCGAGTGGTGCTGGACAATTTGAACACGCATCGGACGGCGTCGCTCTATGAGGCTTTCCCGCCGGCGGAGGCTCGGCGCATCGCCCAGCGACTGGAGTTCCACTACACGCCCAAGCACGGGAGCTGGCTGAATATGGCGGAGATGGAGTTCAGCGTCCTGGCCCGGGCCTGCCTGCGGGGACGCAACCCCGACCAGGACAGCCTGGAGAGGGCGGTGAATGCCAACGTGTCAGAGCGCAACGCGGTGGCATCCCCGATCAATTGGCGATTTACCACCAGAAAGGCCAGAACCAAACTCCGCAGGCTATATCCTGACACTGCTACTTTGACTGAATACTAGACCATCATCACTTGGTAATGTTGCGCCCCGAAATGGTGAAAAGTTTCAATGTACAGCAAATCAACCGAGCCGACAAAGTCTTAGCGGCATACAAGGGGTCTACTCCTGATTTTTCAATCAGGAATGCAGGTTTCGTATGGGATAAAGACCTCTCGAAGCTTTTCCCCAAGAAGCCCTAATTGGGGCCATTACACGATTGACGGGCTACGATGAGCCTCCAAATCACGGCGGGGCGTTCGGGTGGGGTTTTTCATCAGTCGGGATATTTATGCATCAAAAGCTGCTTTTTCCGCAAAGCCGACCTTCCCCCGTCGGGGGGGAAGGGACTTTTTCAGAGGTTCCCTAAAGCCGACCCAGGCGAGGGGTTGAAAGTTCCACTTCAGTGGATGCGCCGCTGTAGAATATGGTAGACGGAACGTGATCAATAGGGAGAAAGGACAGTGGGAAGGTTCAACTGGGGCTTCGAGGGACCACCCAAAGATGCTTATTCGCGCGTAACCGAGCCGGAACGGTTCAGGCCATTGCACGACTGGGCCCTCGAGGCAGTGGAGCGACTGCAAGCGAATTATGAAGTCACCCGGGATGAAGGTGAAGGCATGGACACCGAGCTGGAACGGTCCCCGCTTTCCAGACCAACATTAAAGTTGACACCGCTCCAGGATTCTTTTGCGCCGGTTTCCATTGCCTTCAACGACTCTCCTGGTCTTGCGGTCCGGTACGGCCGTTGGGCCACCGAGTGGTTCCCAACCTGCAGTTGCGACGCGTGCGATGAAATGCCGGACGAAGAATTCGAGAGGTTTACAGAGTTATTGAGTGATGTCGTGGCCGGGCGTTTTCGAGAAGCCCTGAGCGGAGGCGACGGATGGTCCAGAAATGAATTCTGGTCTGCTGATCACCGCATAGGCGGAGGAGGGTCGCGGGTGCCACGCGAGGAAGCGGCTCAAATTTTGAACGGAAGCGAGGAAGTTGTTCTGGAGTGGATGCCTTGGCCGCCAAGGCCGGGCAGAGGGGAAACCTGATTGGCAATTACCACTCCAGAACCACGTCTGCCCCGATGCCAAATTTGGCCACCAAATATTCGCAGACACTCAGGCGCATGCCGTCGTCCTCGGGGAAGGCCTTTTCGATATAGACATTCCAGCCCTCAGCACCGCTACTGACGACGCCAAAAGCAACGTCATAGCAGCGCATCCCGGGGTTGTAGGTATAGATCGTATTTTCCGGCGGGTCGTCCAGTAAATCGGCGATAAATATGTTCACCGCGTCTATCACCTGTTGGTCGGTTACCGGACGCCCGGACATCTGTGCCATATCGCCCCCATTGGTGTCCCTTCGAGAATTGAAAAAGGCGGTCAGCAGACCGCCCTTATTTATCGGGCCAGGACCCGCAGCGTATCACTTGCAATCACGCCCCAAACGTCTTCCTGAACCGGTACAGCGTCATTTCAGGCTCGATGGGGGCTACGGGCATGTACTCTGTTTCCTCTATCTTGGCCACTATAAACCAGGGGCCATCCTGCTCCAGGGCTTCGCAGAAGACGGCTTCCAGATCCTCCAGGTTGTTGACCGTGGCGGTGCGGGGGATGCTGCAACTTTGCGCTATCTGCTCCAGGTCGGTGCCAAAAGCCGTGTGGCTGGACTGGTGACCGGTCTGGGCCCACTGCTCGTTGTCCCAGACCACCACCACCAGGTTCCTGGGCTGCTCCCGCCCGATGGTGGATATGGTTCCCAGATTCATCAGCATAGACCCATCGCCGTCGAGGGAGACCACCTTTTCGTCGGTGGAGACGGCCATCCCCAGGGCTATTGAGGAACAAAGGCCCATGTTTCCGTAAGTGTAGAAGTTGCGGTCCCGGTGGCCGGCATGCCAAAGTTCGTCGGTGGTGGGGCCCAGATTGCTTACAATGGGGTAGTCGCCAATATGGCGCAGGAGCATTTGGGTGGCTTCAAACCTAAGCAAGTTTGCCTCCGTGCAACAGTTGGGTCATGCAGATGGCCACCGGCTGGCGGTTGGCGTAGCACAGTTTCAGCGCGCCATCCACGATCTTTTCCATGTTGTATTCGTCTTCCAGGGTAAAGTGGACCAGCCCGAACACATCCAGAATGGGACGAGTAGCACGGCCCATAGGCACCTGGGCGATGTTGAATTCTCCAGGACCGCCCCGCAGATTCATGAATATGGGAATGGGAGTGCGCGCCGGAATGCAGAGGCTGGCAATGGCGTTGATGCTGTTGCCGAAGCCGCTGGACTGCATGAATACGGCAGAGTTGCGGCCGGTGGCGTAGGCTCCCACGGCCACCCCGATGGCTTCCTCTTCGCGGGTGGCGGAAACCAGGTGGAAGTAGGGGTCCTCTTCAATAAGTGTGGTAACCCGATCAATGGAAATGTCCGGGACGTAGGCCACCAGAGAGGCATCCCACTTCTTCAGTCCCTCAACGATTATATCGTTCCAGGCCATTGCTAATTTTCTCCAAAAGGGCCCCTTTTTGTATCTGTGAAAGGGCAGTCAATAAAGTAGCAGTAATGCTAGTGAATGTCAAAAGCCGGTCTCTAGTATGGATGGAAGGGATGAACAGGATGAAACATGGGGAAACGTGAATAGGAGGAGCCGCAACTTGAGAAAAGGGACAAAAGTGGTACGGATTATCACTCGATTGAACGGACGTATTGGAAGTGGCTTTTCGACCAGCGGGTCTTTTGAGGCGTTGCCGCAGGAAGTTTCGACTATACCGGTCTGGCCTGGTGCATCCTGCGAATCAATTTTCCTTCCACCGGATCCACCATCAAGTTGAAAAACTCCAGGGTAGTTGCACCAATCAGATATTGGTCCTCGGGGCCAAAAATGACCGGGCAGTAGCGTTCGGGGTAGTCCGCTATGCCCAAGCGCGCCATGCCGAAGTCATACTTAACCTCTCCGCCATCGGCCAGGGCGTAGCTAAACTTTTCCAGAGGCGCTACCTGGAGCTGGGAAAGTAGAGACGCCGGTATCATTGAATGGATGGCTCCGGTGTCAACAAGAGCTGAGACAAGGGTCGGCTCTCCCTCGCCGGGGCTGCCAATACCGAGCGGGACTTCAAAGACACCAACCTTTTCTCCCTTCCCGCTTTTCTCATGCTTCTGCGGCTTCATCATATCGAGATTTTATCATATCGAGGCTGGAGAATTTGCAAAGGAATGGATGCTCAAACATGGACATACCGGATGCACAATTGTAATGGGATGAGCGAATGGAACAATCCTGTTTATCCTGTACATCCATGTTAAGATTTGGCCAGCCTGATACATTGAGAGGTGTCGCCTTGCAGATAGACCCCAATACTTTTGAACATAATTTTTACCGGGTGCTCACCGGTGTGGTGGTGCCCCGTCCCATAGCCTTTGTGTCTACTATTTCCACAGACGGAGTAGTCAACCTGGCTCCCTACTCCTTTTTCAACGCCGTCGCCTCTGACCCGCCTACCATCGTATTTTCTTCGTCCCGCCGTGCGGGTTCAAAAGCCAAAGACACCCTGACCAACGTGGAAGAAACCGGCGAGTTCGTGGTGAACGTGGTGGTGGATGACATTGCCGAGGCGATGAACAAGACCGCCGCCGAGTTTCCCGTGGAGGTCAACGAGTTTGAAATCGCGGGCCTCAGCGAGGCGCCGTCGGTCAAGGTCAAGGCGCCCCGGGTTGCCGAATCGCCGGTCAATATGGAGTGCAGGCTGAAGCAGGTGGTTGACCTGGGAGCTGACCCCGAACACGGTCACGGCCTGGTCATTGGGGAAGTTATATACATGCACATCCGGGACGACCTGATAGACGGCCACCGGATAAATCACCAGCTTTTGAAGCCCACCGGCCGCCTGGCGGGAAGCATGTACTGCCGCACGGCAGACAGCTTCGAAATGGTGAGGCCGGTTTACGAAGGTTAGGGGGCTCTCATCGTGCTGGTAAAGGTTCAGGGAACCTCTGAACAAGTCATCGCCATTGCGGCGAAAGCCGAGGGCCCTAAAGGAGTTGGGGACGTCACTCATGAAATGAGCGCCAACACCCCCATCCTGACCTTCCCCCCTCGAGGGGAAAGGGTTGTTGGAGATAGGTTCCTGGTCTTCACCAGTCACCGGACAACCTGAGAGGCAAGCAAAGAACTCACCTCGTCCCGGGGAAGGGGGACGGAGGTGAAAAGTTGTCAGTAAAAGGTGCGTGGTTGAGGTTGCTGGGGATCATCCCCTGAGTCGTCCGGTCCAGACGCAGGAGCTTCTTCCACAGCCTCATTGGCCTGGGCTACTGGCTGCTCTTCGGCAGAGGAAGGCTCGGGAGCCTTCGCCTGCTCTGTCGCGACGGGCTCTTCTACAGAGTTACCAGCCGTTTCAACCATGTCTTGCGACGGTTCGGAAGCTGGCGCTTCGGGAGCGGTGTCGGCTATGGGCGTCGCCTCAACCGCGTCTACCACAGCAACGGATTCTGCGTCCACTACTTCCAGCGGCCTTCTCCCCCGGAACTCGTAGTCCATATTTTCCTCGGGGTGAGCGGCGCGGTAGGCGTTAAGGGCCGCTTCAAGTTCGTCGAAGAAGCCCTCCGGGTCCCTTACCCGTATCGGCTGGCGCCGGCCCTTCACTGGGCGAATCCTCAGCTGGTCCATTGTGGCCAGCGAACCCATCTCCACCGTGGCAATATTGCTGAAGTGCATCACCTTTACCCGGGGCCTGCCGTAGGCAACGCACAGGGAATCGGAGTAAACCAGGTATTCCCGCGGTGTGAACAGCCAGGTGTACGCCGACACGCCAATGCCCAGGATGATAATCATAGTGGGATTCCCGGGTGGCGGTATTAGCTCGAACATGCCGAGTACCCCCCACGCGGCAATGCCCAAGGCCAGTATCAGCGTAAGGTTAAAAGGCACTCGATCCTTGGCAACGTACAGTGGTTGGTTGGGTGTCTGCTCTATCAATATATAATTCCTTGCCCCGGAACAGGTTAACCGCAATTCAATCGTCGGCTTGGTTGCGAAATCCGAAGCTGCCTCATTATATATCAATGCGCTGGGGGTAGCCACCGGGGAATCCAGGCACCCGGGGTTGCCCCTCTGACTCACCAGGGCACCCACAAGGTGTGGCCCTACAGACTTGCATCAAAGCCTGCGCAGGAGCAACCGTTAGGGCTGCCCTGGATCAATCGCCAAGTTATCTGGAAATCCGGGACACGGTTCGACCGCAGCCAGGCCCTACCCCAGCTGTGGTATCTCCCCGGGCATGTACCAACTACAGCGAAAGACCCGGTTGTCCTCATAACCGTCGGTGCCAACCGGGAAGTAGGGATTGATGTACTCCCACACAACCTCGCCTTCGGGCGTTACCTGGAACATCCGGCCAAACATGCCCTCGGTTATCAAGGTGTTGCCGTTGGGCATCCGGCGAGCGCCTGAGATTCGGGAGCTGTAGAAGTTGAAGTAGGGATTGTCCCGGTACTCCCAGACTATCTCGTTGGTGCGGGGGTCAATCTCCACCACCCGCGAGAAGATGCGTACGTCGTTCTTGCGCCGCTCCCCGTTGTCGAACAGCAGGATATTGCCGTTGGGCAGCAGACTGGGGTCGTGCTGGCGGGATATGACGTCCCACCCCACTTTCCACGTAATGTCACCCGACTTCTTGTCGATCATCAGCACCGTGGAGATGTTGCGGAAGCTGGCCAGCACCCGGTCACCGTCCAGGGGCACAACGGTATTGCCGTGGCTCCATTCGTGGCGGGGCTCTCCGGGGGTGATAATGTCCTCTTCCAGGTCCAGATGCTGGTATGCGTGCCAGTCCCATACCTGGTTGCCGGTGGCATCCACCTCAATCAAGTGGTCGGCCCACATGTGGGTGGTGGCTTCCTGACCGCCTTCGTGGTCTGCCTCCAGGCCGCTGCCCGGCTGACCACCCTTTACCTGGTCTGCAACCTCGGACGGGATGGTCTCCAGGGTGAGGAAAATGGCCCCGCCCGACTCGGTGCGACGGGCATCGTGGTGCTGGGCCGGGTTGACGTGCTCCCACACGATGTTGCTGTCCCAGTCCAGTTCCACCAGCCAGCCGCCGACAAAGTTGGTGGCGGGCATGGCGCGGGCGTCGGTCTGCTCCGCTTTGGCCATGTAGAAGAGATTGCCGTTGGGCAACAGATAGCCCCAGGAACCCGGAGGAGTGGGCGGGTGCCAGCGATGCAGTTCATTGCCTTCCATGTCCAGCAGGAAAGTAACGCCCTTACCGGCGCCGTCACCGTTATAGGGGGAATAAACAAAATTGCCTGGGCAAGCCTTGTCCGGGTCCAGGCCGGTCAGGCCTGTTTTGGCGACCCTGCGCCAAGTCTGTTGGTCAACACTCATGATAGTCTCCTCCGCCTGTCAGCAAGTAGCTCTTGTTGGGTGGCGCCATTATGGGTTAGTGGGATGGAGGTGTAAACAGGGGCCCGGATCATTTGGTTTCTTTCCCCGATAAGGGGTTGAAAATTTTCTATCCCGCTCATTTCCGCTCATTTTCGCCCACTTTGGGCGATTAAGCAGGAGATCTTCCGACAAGTTCAGGACGAGCAGAGATGTTATTTGGGGCCCATGTCCCCAACCGACAGAAATGAGAAAAATTGTTTTTCCTCCCATTTTCGCTCATTTTCGCCCATTTATTCCCGTATGCAATTTGCCACTTGGTGTTTGCAGGGCTGGTATTAGCACCTGGTTTCAGGCTTAAGGTTGCCGTTTCTACGTTTACGGCGGTTCTCCCCAAGTCACAACGCGTCCAGGCTGCTGGCCCAGACCTATGTCAATCATAAATGACACTTACATAAGCCATGATAAGAGGAGGTTGCGCGGGCTGGGAAGAAGCAAGTGTCAGATGATAGCTTGCATGTTGGGAGGCATGGGACGTAGTGGCAAGGCAACTAAAAGGGTTGCCCCTGCAACCCCAGCGATAGTGACCAAGTAGAGTAAATAGCCGCTATCAATCGGCCCGAAGTTGCCCTTACCCGCCCCATTGCCCTACAATCTGGCTCTATGAATGCTGAAACAGATTTCGTTAACCCTCAATACTTGGCCGACCCGACCTGGCTGCGAGACCACCTGGACGACTCCAACCTGGTGATTGTTGATCTGGATGCGGAGGCCGGCTATCTGCGGGGCCACATTCCCGGCGCAGTATTCCTGGACAACAACTACGAGCGCAATCCGGAAACCGGCTGGGTGGACACCATGCCGCCGGAGCGGTTCGCCGCAGTCTGCCAGGGCCTGGGCATCGGCGACGATACCCTGGTGGTGGCCTACGACAACAACATGAGCCTCCAGGCCGCCCGTTTCTGGTGGACACTCAGCTACAACGGGCACACCAACGTCAAGGTCCTGGACGGTGGCTGGCGGGGCTGGGTGGCCGGGGGCGGGGCCATCGCCTTTGACCGCGCTGCACCGCAGCAGGGAGCCGTCTTTACGCCACATATCGACGCATCCCTGATCGTGGCATTCGAGGATGTGCAGGCCGGTTGCAGCATCGGCGGGCCCAACGCGGCGGACACGGTCATCTGGGACACGCGCTCTGACGGAGAGTATTCCGGCGCCGTCCACCGGGCCAACAAGCGGGCCGGCCATGTCGCGGGGGCCGCTCATCTGGACTGGATGGACCTGATGGACCGCAGCACCCACCGTTTCAAGTCGGCTGCCGAATTACGCGGCATGCTGAACGACAAGGGCATAACGGCGGACAAGGCCGTCTTTGCCTATTGACAGGCGGGTCTCCGTGCGGCGCACGGCGTATTTGTCCTGAACCTGCTGGGCTACGGCGACGCCCGCAACTATGATAATTCCATGTTTGAGTGGGCCAACCTGGAAGAAGAACAGGCGCCTATGGAAGTTACGATTTAAGAATTACGAATTACGAGTTTTGGGCAAGGTCCTGAACGAGGCCTTTTCAATTGCTGGTTTGCAGAGGCCATTTCATAGCTAATTAGGAGGAAAGTATGAGTACCGGAGAAGGATTCGCCCGCCCGGAGTTGCTGGTAGACGCTGCGTGGGTGGCGGAGCACCTGGATGACCCCAACGTGGTGGTGCTGGACGGCGACGTTGAGGCCGGCTACTTGCGCGGTCACATCCCCGGCGCAGTAATGGTGCCCGACAACTACGCCAAGGACCCGGATACGGGCAGGGTGCACATCCTGGCGCCGGAGAAGTTCGCCGCATTTTGCCAGAACCTGGGAATCGGGGACGACACCCTGGTCATCACCTACGACAATAACCAGAGCCTTTATTCCGGTCGGCTGTGGTGGTGCCTGAACTACTACGGGCATACCAACGTCAAGGTCCTGGACGGGGGGTGGCGCACCTGGGTCAACGAGGCCCGCCCGGTGAGCTTTGACCGGGTCGCCGGCAAGCCCGGCGCAACCTTCACTCCCAAGACCGACGAGTCCATCATGGTCAAGGTGGACGAACTGAAGAAGGCCTGCAGCCTTTCCGACACCGTTGTCTGGGACGTGCGCAGCGAGGCCGAATACACCGGAGCCAACGACCGGGGCAACAAACGGGCGGGCCATATTCCCGGGGCGGCTTACCTGGAGTGGTTCAACGTAATGGAGCGGGACAGCCACAAGTTCAAGCCCGCCGCCGAAATCCGGCAAATGTTGAACGACAAGGGCATAACACCGGACAAGGCGGTCTTTGCTTATTGACAGGGCGGCATCCGTGCGGCGCACGGCACCTTCCTGCTAAAGCTGCTGGGCTATGACCGGGCCAAGAACTACGACGGCTCCATGGGCGAATGGGCCAACCTGGAGGATACGCCACTGGAGGTTTAGGGGACAGAGAGCCGGTTATGCGTCTGTAGGGGCGGGCCTTGTGCCCGCCCTCTTGTGTCGAACACTGGCGGACCGGTTCCGTTTGCTTATGAGGCATGGGAACTGAGATAAGTAACAAACGGCACCGCAAGGAGCGATAATGACGACTAACGACTCGGGCAAGCTGAACATGGGCGGAGTGGATGCCATTAAGAGCATAACCAGCGTCCCGCCTAGCAAGCGAACACATCAACAGTCTGCCTACCTAGCCGCCTGTCTGATAGCACTTGCCCATCAGCCTAGTCGCTGGTACTCGTATCAAGATTGGGGGCAGGGTGGTCCTGTCGAATTCCTGGCAGAAAGAGGTATAGAGTTTACCCCGGTCCCAGACGTTAGTCCTAGGGGACGGTCTTGGTATGACGGATGCGAGTGCAACGAAACACACTGGCATGAGCGAGTGAGTTAAATAGCACCATACCCTATAAGCAAATAGAACTGGCGGATCTAATCCATAGGGAGATTCTCCCCGAAGCGTGTAGGTTCCTGCCTTCGCAGGAACGACGGGTCTATAGGTTGGTATCCAAAGGGTAAATTCGTTGAACCGAGGTCAGCCACGAGGGCTGCCCCTACATGTGAAGCACACCACACCTTCATGTGCAGTTTCCAGCATGATTCCAGCAACCAAAATAACGGGGCCCCGGCGATTGCCGGGCCCCGTTTGCCACACCCGCAGCGTTTTTGAGCGCTGAGGGTCTATACCTCCGCGTTGTGGACTACCGAAATCTCCTCTATGGGTACTACGTGGGACAGGACAAACTGGGCTACGTCCCGCCGCATGGGGTCTTCCAGGTCGCAGTCCTTCAAGTAGCTGAAGTTCGGGAACGTTTCCTCCATCAACTTCTTGACCCGGGCATAGCCATGGCGGGAAGCGATCAGGTACTCGACACTGCTGGGATCCCGACCCATTGCCTCCTGCTCCGCCTCCATGTCGGGTAAGCTCGGCCTCGTAGTCCACACGGTCCACAATGGCCATCTGCTCCAGGGCCTCGCGGCGTCCGGCGTCAATTTCCTTGAAGAGCTGGTACAGGGAGGAAACCATCGTTGAAACCTCTTCCAGCATCAGGGGTACTCGGTTCTGCTTTTCGTAGACCAATTCCATCTTGCGCTTGCACTCTTCGATGGCGTTCTTGCGGGCCCGGTCCCAGCCCTGTTGCCGTTGGGCGCGGGCGAGTTCATGCCGGAGGGTCGGGGCCTCGGCGGCCAGGGAACCCAGCCGAGTCACCGCGTTTTCGGCCTCTTCGGCCTTGCGCAAACGTTCCTGTAGGTCTGTATTTATTCGAGTTACCATATTGTGCCACTCCTTATCAGTTGTGATTGGGTGTGTTTAGATGGTCGCACCGACTACAAAGTGCCGGGCGATACTGTTAAGGCGGGTCCTCCCGGACCCTTGGGCACAGCGGGACTGAAGGCTGGTTCCGGGTAGGCGGTTCTGGCCGGAGGACTATCTGACATCCGACCGGGGTAACCGGCGAGAGGAACGTGAGGAGGGTAACTTTGTCCGGCGGTAGCCGACCCGGAAACCTTGGGGCCGACCGAAATAAAATTGATTAGCGAAAATATTCCTGGGGTCACTGGGCCGGACTTTGGTGCGTACTCCTCGGGCTTTCCTTTCGTTGGCGAACTGCCTGCCAGATAACCGGGGTCTCAGCCGCGTTGCCATGCCCTGAGAGTTATTAAATTGTTCCGCACCGGCCTTGGCCGGGCGGTTGACCTCTATAGGGGTCAAGTTTTTTATCTATACTCTTCCACCTCCTTGTGTCTCGATTCCAGCATCCAGGCAACCGGCAGTTAAGCGATTTGCCCTTTCTTCGGGAGTGTCCTGCTCTGCCTCACGTCATCCCTTCTGCTTCGGTCTAACTATTTAACCGCAGTGTCAAGAAATGCCGCAAGGTGAATAAAACCCAATTTTGGTCAATATTCGGGAATTCTCTCAAAAGCTTCCTTGAGGCATGAATCTCCCCCGGCTATCTCGTATAATGCCGGGGGAACCGCACCGGCCTAGCCGGGCAGGTTTCCCGAAGTTAGCAACCCATAACAGGCAGAAGGAGGACCGAAACATGCCTATTGAACAGATGGCGCCGGAACTGGAGCACATCATTGACCTGGACGCCGAGATTAAGGAACTGGGCAGCGGCTACGGCGGCGCCAACGGACCGGCCGAGGGCCCCCTGTGGTGGCACGACGGCAACTACCTGCTCTTCAGCGACATTCACAATGACCGCCGGATGAAGTGGGCCGAAGGCGAGGGTGCCACCGTTTTTTCGGAGCCCACCAACCGGGCCAACGGTCTCACCCGCGACCTGCAGGGCCACCTGCTGGCCGCCGAGCATGACGGCCGCCGGGTCTCCCGCCTGAGCGGGGACGGCCAGCGCATCACCGTTGTCGCCAACAGCTTCCAGGGACGCCAGCTCAACCGGCCCAACGACGTCATCGTCAAGTCTGATGGCAGTATCTACTTCACCGACCCCTGGACCTTCCCCCGGGTGGCCAACCAGTGGGAGCAGACCATCTCCGGCGTTTACCGGGTCTCACCCGACCTGGGGACGCTGACCCTCCTGGTGGCCGACTTCACCCTGCCCAACGGTCTGGCATTTTCCCCCGACGAAAGCATCCTGTACGTCAACGACTCGCGGCGGGGGCATATCCGGGCCTTTGACGTGCTGCCCACCGGCGGCGTAGCCCTGTCGTCGGACCGGGTATTCGCCGCACTGAGGGGCGAGCGGCCCGGCGTACCCGACGGAATGAAGGTGGACGTGGAAGGCAACGTCTATTGCGGTGGTTCCGGCGGCCTGTGGATTCTCGACTCGTCCGGCAAACATTTGGGCACCATCGTACACGGTCAGGAAGCCACCACCAACCTGTGCATGGGCGGGTCTGACTGGAAGACCCTCTTCTTCACCACCCGCAACACCCTGGGCAGCGTGCAGATAAAAGTGGCGGGGATTCCGGCGCCGACGGACCGGTAATTCTCAATTAAGAATTTGGAATTTCGCCCTCACCCTCGGCCCCTCTCCCTCAGGGAGAGGGGGGGATCGATACTGGTAGGGGCAACCCTTGTGGTTGCCCTGGTTCCGGGGAAACCCCGTTTGCCGCGCAATGAAGCCTAACCAAGAGGTCACCCCTCTCCCCGCAGGAAAAGGGCGGGGAGTTCGGGCAGGCGACAGCGACAAGGGCATCTCGAGAATGCGATGCCGCCAGCATCAACATTCGTATTCATAATTGACTATTCGTAATTCAGGAGAAAAGCAATGCCTATAGAAGTAGTATCCCCCGACCTGGCAAGCATCGTTTCCCCCGATGCTGCCGTTACCGAACTCAGCAGCGGTTACGGCGGCGCCGACGGGCCGGCGGAAGGGCCCCTGTGGTGGCACGAAGGTGACTATCTGCTGTTCAGCGACATCCACAACAACCGCAGGATGAAGTGGACGGCCCAGGACGGGGTAAGCCTGTTCCATGAGCCCACCAACCGGGCCAACGGCCTTACCCGCGACCCCAGCGGCCGCCTGCTGGCCTGCGAGCACCTGACCCGCCGCGTCACCCGCATGGAGCCCGACGGCAGCATTACCGTGGTTGCCAGCAACTACCGGGGCCGCCGCCTCAACCGGCCCAACGACGTAATCGTAAGTTCCAAGGGAGACATTTACTTCACCGACCCAGGCTTCCCCACACCGGGACTGGACCTGGACTGGAACGGGGTCTATCACGTTACGCCGGACCTGGGCACCATCACCCTGATAGTGTGGGACTTCAGCCGCCCCAACGGGCTGGCCCTGTCCCCCGACGAAAGCATCCTGTACATCAACGACACCCGCCGGCGCCACATCCGGGCCTTTGACCTGGAGCCCAACGGGATGCCTCTCATTGCCACCGACCGGGTCTTCTGCGACCTGGGAGGTGAAAGAGAGGGAAACCCCGACGGCATGAAGGTGGACAGCATGGGCAACGTCTATTGCGGCGGCTCGGGCGGAATCTGGGTCATCGACCCGTCAGGCCAGCATCTGGGTATCATTGTCCACGGCGAGGCGGGTACCACCAACGTGGCCTTTGGCGGCAGCGACTGGAAGACCCTGTTCTACACGACCCGCAACACCCTGGGCAGCGTTCCGGTGAACGTGGCCGGCCTGCCGGTACCGGCCGGCGGCTAAACCAGCCTGCCCGGGTGGCAGGACAGCTACCTTGGCCGGACTAACCGACCGGGGTTCCAGCCAAAGAAGGTTGAGTTTATGAAAACCGGATATGCACGTTGCGCTATCGTTGGCCTGTTGCTGGCCCTGGCCCTGCTACTGGCCTGCGGCGGCGCGCAGCAACCGCCGGGGAACGACCTGGATGTCCGGCTGGACAGGGAATCCCGGGCAGACGGGGAGCAGCTACCGGCACAGGATGACCGGGCGGCATTGGAAGCCCTTTACCACGCCACCGACGGCCCCAACTGGATTGCGTCGCGACAATTGGCTGTCCGACGCACCCCTGGGCCAGTGGCTTGGCGTATCCACCGACGCAAGCGGGCGGGTTAAACACCTGGGCTTCGACGACAACCGGTTGAGCGGCGAGGTTCCACCGGAGTTGGGCGATCTGGCCAACCTGGAAGTGCTGCGCCTCTCATACAACCAGTTGAGCGGGGAGATACCCCCGCAATTGGGCAACCTGCCTAACCTGAGATGGCTGGGCCTCGTCGGCAACCGGTTAAGCGGCGAGATACCCCCGCTGAGCTGGGCAACCTCACCAACCTGGATGTGCTGGAACTCTACGACAACCAGTTGAGCGGGGAGATACCCCCGGAGTTGGGCAACCTGTCCAACGCAATGGCTGGAACTCGATACCAACCAGTTGACCGGGGAGATACCCCCGGAGCTTGGCAACCTCACTAAACTGGAATGGCTGGAACTCGACAACAACCAATTGAGCGGCGGGATACCCCCGGAGTTTGGCAACCTCACCAAACTGGACACCTTGCTCCTCCACGAGAACCGGTTGAGCGGCTGCGTTCCCATAGGTCTGCCCTACAGAGACTCCGGAATGCCCAGTTGCTGACGGCGGCTTTGGGCTACGCCGGCCGGGACTGAACATGGCTTAACCGGATATACGGGATTGTTTGTGACCATCCTGTATCCCGTATGTCCTGCTAATCAATGCCATCAGAGGGGGATGAGTTTATGGGAACCGGTTCGCCTCGTTACATCATAGGCGTCATCCTGGTAGGCTTGGGTGTCCTGTTGCTGCTGAGCAACGCCGACCTGATCAACCTGGACTGGGCCTGGGACCTGGTGCGTACCTGGTGGCCCATTCTCTTGATTGTATGGGGCCTGTGGGAACTGGTTTCCGGCGGTTTCAGGTTCCGGATGTGGCCCATCATCCTGCTGCTGCTGGGCATTGGCTTCCAGCTTTCCGCCCTGAACCTGTGGGAGTGGGACTTCTCGGTGGTCTGGCCGGTGTTCATCGTGATAGTGGGCCTGGCCATCCTGCTGGGGCGCAGGGGCAGACGGAACAGGCGCAGCGAACGACCATCCGAAATTGTTCCCGACCTTATTATTGAAGGCACAACCACCACCCGTGCCGGCACGGGAGCCAGTACCGGCGATTCGTGGCGCGCTGTGTTTAACAGCGTCGAGGAGAGGTATGCCGGCCAGCCTTTCCGCGGCGGAGAAGTTGAGGCCAACTTCGGAACCGTTGCCCTGGACCTGCGGGACGCGACTCTGGCCGGTGGTTCCGCCCGCCTGGACGTCAACCTGACCTTCGGCGGCCACTGCACCTGCGCGTCCCCTCAACCTGGCGGGTAAACATTGAGAGCGTCAGCACCCATTTCGGCCACGTGCAGGATAACCGAGTCCAGCCAGCGCCCGGTGAGATTGACGGGGAACTGACCATAGCAGGAACGGTTACCTTTGGGAATTTGGAGATTGGGGATTGAGGGAGCGCGGGGTAATTTCGGCCAATTAACCACCTTTGGAGGACAAGAGTAGAGTGGAGGAGGGAGATTTTTGGATGGGAGGGAGGAGAAGAGGGGAGAAGAGGGGGAGGCGGATTGATAGTGAGGAGGGAAATTGGGAGGGAAGATGACTTAAGGGGGAATATTTTGATATTTATACCGGTAACGGAAGAGAAAGGGGACGCCGGGCGAGATGGCTCGACAGGCATTTTTATGAGAAAGGTGATAACCGGCCGCCAACACTCGAGGGCATTGGGCACGGACGTGCAGCGCAGAGGAGGGACGGGGACTGGGACGCACAGATCGGGGGCACGGCCGGCGAGCGGCGTGGTAGCTTACTACCCCGGGAGGGGGGATGCTTCAGGCTCTCCACGTGGCTTCCTTTCGTGCCGCTCCGGGGGCCGCGCGCCCTTTGGCGCTGGCTTCTTTCCTCGCGCCGGCTGCGCGTCTTGCGGGGGCGGCGCCTCCGCGTGCTGAAGGGCGCACCCTCCCTTTTTTCGGCCGTCTTGGCCGCCTCGGGTGGCGCCTGGTCCGCCCGCTGGCCACAGCGCCGGCCGGGCGGGGAGCGCCGGTCCCCGCGCTGGCGTGTGGCTTCTCCTGCCGCGCCGTCCGCTTTACGCGGGTCCGCGCGCGCGTGCTCTCTCGCTGTGCGGGCACGCCTCTGGCTTTTGCTCGGGCGCCCGCCGCGGGCGGTCGCTCCGCCGCTGCGGGCGGGGCGGGGCGGGGCTGCGCGCCGCTCCCGGCTCGGCGGGGCGGGGTCGCGCTCGCGGAAGAGAGAGAGGTATGATATGCCGCCACCGGAACGTTACAACACGGGCTATAACCTGGGCGTAGGAGGGGCAGTAATCAAGGCCAACAAACTGCTGATGGTGCGACGGGCATCCCGTCGCGGCCGGGGCAACTGGCAGATTCCCGGCGGGTTCGTCGAGCAGGACGAGACCATGGAGCAGGCGGTGGTGCGCGAGGTGCAGGAGGAGGCCGGGGTAACCGCCGAGGTGGTGGGTGTGCTGGGCATCCGCAACCGCTACGATGAGGACAACGGCAACAGCATGTATGTTATCCATGCCCTGCGACCGGTGTCCGGCGAACCCACCCCCGACGCCCACGAGGTGGACATGGCAGGCTACTTTTCCCTGGAGGAAATCGACGCCCTGGAGCAGGTGCCGCCCATTAACCGCGAGGTGGCGCGCCGGGCCCTGGACCCCAACTGCCGCCTGCTGGACCCACAGCTAGTGACGCAGCCCACCGGGTTAACGTATATGCTGTTTATTGGGTAGGAGCACCCGCACTTCGGCCCATCTCGCTCAGGAAGAGGGGAGCAAGAGCATTCGGACAGGCCGAAACAGTTCTATCGGTCACCTTGGCAAGGTGCAAACCGTAAAAATGACGCCAGCCAGACGAAGTCACCCCTTTCCCCGTGGGAGAGGGGCCGGGGGTCATGACGTTGGTTAGGCTCCAGGCGAGGTTCCTGCCTTCGCAGGAACGGCGGGGGTTCCGCAAGCCAAGACACGTTTAGCCAGCGACAGGTATATGGGCGCTTTGGAACCTACGCCGGCTTGGCAATGAACACGGGTATCTTTCGGGAGGTGCGAGTCTGGTATTCGTCGTAGGGCGGGTATGCCTCTACCGCCAGGGCCCACAGCCGCGCCCGCTCCGCATCTTCAAGAACTTCACTGACCGTCATGTCGTATAAATCGGCTTCGTCCCGAATCTGGACCTGTCCGTCGGCCCGCAGGTTGAAGACCCATGCCGGATGCTTGGGCGCGCCGCCCTGGGAACCAACCAGCACAAAATTGTCCCCGTCCTTGACCCGCATCAGGGGAGTCTTGCGGACTGCGCCGGTTTTGTTGCCCTGGTTGGTTACTATGATGACAGGCAGGCCGGTGTTGCGCAGCGTCGTGCCGTCGGCGCCATCGCTGCCCTCGTAAAGCGCCACCTGCTCCCGCACCCAGTCCCTGGTTGAAGGTACATATTCGGCCATAACTCTCTCCTGGTTGCTGATTGTTGGGTCATATTAGCATATCGCTGATTATTTTCCGCTTTGTCCACAAAGGAACACGAAGAGTCACGAAGATATTGCTTCTGGATTCTTCCTTCCTAAATCTTTTACTAACTTCAAGAAGAAAGGGTTATTGACTCTCCCTAGGCCGGCCGCGAAGGGCTGAAATCGCCACGGCCAGCAACATCAGGACAGACATCGCCATAAAGGTGTAGCGCAGTCCCGTGGTAAAGGCGTGCCCTACCCCATCAGCGGCGCCGACCTGTACCGCCGACAGGTTTGGCTCGTAGCCCATTGAACCCATGGTAGCGGTAACGATGGCCGTGGCAGCCGCAATGCTGACTACGTTGCCGGCGTTCCGGATCAGGTTGAGGAACGCCGAAATCACTCCGTAGCTTTCCCGGCTAACCGAGCTTAATACGGAACTGGCGTTGGGCGAGAAGAACAGTCCCATTCCGCAGCTTTGCAGGATCAACCCGGGCAGCACCGCCGCGAGGGTGGATTCTGCAGTCAGGCGGGACAGGATGAACAGGCTGACGGAGGTAAGAGACAAGCCGCTGACGGTAAGGGCCCGCCAGCCGTAGCGGTCCGATAGTCGTCCGCTTAACGGGCCCAGGAACAGCATACACACCGCGCCCGGCACCAGTGTAAGACCTGTTTGGGTTGGGCTGTAGCCAAGGACACCCTGCAGGTAGAAGGGCGTCAGAAAGAATATGGATATTCCGCCCATAAAGGTCAGGAAGGCGGCAGACACCCCGCAGGAGAAAACGGGCATCCTGAAGTAGCGAAGCTCCAGCATCGGGTTAGCCGTCCGCAGTTCCCACCAGATAAAGCCGGCCAGCAGAATCAAGAACCCAACCATGCCTGCCAGAATCGGTGGAGACGTCCAACCGAAACGGTGGGCGTAGGTAACGGTCAACAGAAGCAAGAGGAGCATACCCGTAGACAGGGTTGCTCCCTGCCAGTCGAAACCAGAGCGCTGATGCTCGGACCGGCCGCCGGTCTGGTTGGAAAGTACCGCGATGCCTAGGCCAACGGCTAACGCCATTATCGGGATGTTGACCAGGAAGACGGCCCGCCAGCCGAACAGGTCCAACAGAAAGCCGCCCAGGGCCGGGCCGACGATAGCGCCGCTGCTGACCACGCCCATCATCAATCCGATGGCCTTGCCCCGTTCGCTGGCGGGAAAGGCGGCAGCGATAATTGCCATGCCGGTGCCCTGGGTCATGGCCGCTCCCGCTCCCTGGAGAACCCGTGAGCTGATCAGCATGCTCAGGTTGAGGGACAAACCGGCGGCTATGGCAAAGATGGCGAATATGAGGGAGCCGATGATGTAGACCTTTTTCAGCCCGATAATGTCGGAGAGGCGGCCCATGGGCAACAGCAGGGCGCTGATTGTAAGGGTGTAACTGATAACTACCCATTGCACCGTGGGAATGTCGCTGTTGAAGTGGCCAGCAACAGGGTGCAGGGCGACATTTACGCCGACTTGATCGGCCACCGACGCAAAGGTGCCGATGGCGACAGCGATGAATGCCCACCATTTGTAGTTTGTGCTCTGCCTGACGGCGGTAATCATAGGCCTTTCAGTACTACTCCAGTTCCCTTGTGCTCCGGAATAAAACGGCCTGCACTATCGCAATAAACAACGCGGCCGATGCAATGATGGTAAAGATCCAGGACGGATCCCACAAATCGAGCAACAGGCCGATAAACAGCGTGGCCAGAGGCGTAATACCATGGTCAAGCATGTAAATGCTCATCACGCGACTGCGGAACGTGTCGGGAACCACCGTCTGAATCAAGGTGCTGTTGGCCACCCGGAAGACGTACTGGCTAAAGCCCAATCCCGTCAGCATGGCAAAGGAGACCCACAACCAATGGGACTGGGAAAAGAACAGAATAAAGGCGCAACCTCCGATCAGCCCCAAAAAGACGGCCACCCCCTTGCGCATCAGGTAGCCGATACCGGCGATGAACACGGCCGCAACTACGCCCCCCAGGCCCACCGCCGCCGCCAGTGCCCCGCCGGCGCCGATATCCCGCTTCAGGACCTCAACCGTAAATACCGGCAGAAAGAAAATCACCGGCTGGAACAGCAGGTTGGGAATTATGGACATCACGATAAGCTGGAGTATGCGTTTCTCATTCTTTACGTATTTCAGCCCCGAGACGAGGCTGGCCCAAGGGGAAGTACGCTCGCGAGATCCCTCGGTGCGGTAGGGCAGCTTGACGGGTATTAACAGCAGCACTATGACAACGTACAGCACTGCCTCGATGAAGAAGTTCCACTTGAAACCCAGGGCGGCCACCAGGATGGCTCCGATGGCCGGGGAAATTATCCGGGTGCTGGGATAGACCATGCCGTTCAACGACAGGGCACTGGCCAGGGCATTGCGGGGCACCGTGTTGACCACCATGGCCTGCCGTACCGGCTGAATGATGGTATGGGCCACGCCGGCGAAGGTCATATAAACAAAGGGGTGCCACCACTTAAGGGGCCCGGTAATTTCTTCAGCGTCCAGGTCGGTGAGGATCACCAGGGTGGCAAAAATCGTTGCGGCAACTACCATCACTGACTGGACCAACATCACCAGCTTGCGCCGGTCCACCCGGTCGCCCAACACACCGGCCCAGGGGCCGATCAGCAGGACCGGCAATGAACGTATGCCGACCACCATGCCAGTGAGCAGCGCATTGCCGTCGGTCAGGTGATGCACCAGCCAGCCGATGGTGAAAAGCTGGAGCCACTGGGCGCCAATGGCAACAAAATTTCCGGCCCAAATGAATCGGAAATCTTTGTACTGCTTGACGGTGGCGAAGGCGTCGAGGCCGGCGACTCTTCTGCGGCGGGGGGTCTCAGCGGCGGCTTCCTGCTGGGGGGCGTTAGTCGCCATGTATGTTGACGTTAACCAAGCGGGTCAACCTGTCCTTTGGTGGTAGGGGCAACCTAACGATACTAGCACAAACCGCACCGACTTTCATTCTTTTTCAAGATACTGATGGGGCAACAATATCGGCCCCAGCCTTCTCGCTTCCCTCGTTCCCGGGGTAAATTGGCCTGAGCCGAAAACCTCGATTAAATCTCCAGCAGTTTCTCCAGTTTCTTCCAGAGGATGGTATCCCTCCCCTCTCGTGCAAGGCTGGACAGCCCTGCACCCAGGACACGGCCAGTCAATACACATTTGGCGGGCCAGTCGGCGTCCTCAGCCCCTGGCGGCGGCCAGTTCGAGCAGCTTTGCTACCGTCCTCCAGTTTCGCGTCGTGCTTGTTGTCGAAAGCCTGGAGTCGAAATAGCTGTTGGAGAGCCTGGTGCCGGCAAACCCACCAGGACAGTGGAGATAGACTTCACGGCTAAGCACCGCAAACTCGTCTCTGGGCGAACGATTCGGGTCAAGGGCTTCCACGTGCGCGGCGTCGGGCTGGTCTGCCAGGAAGACAACGTGCAATTTATCTGCCTCCGCGCCGATTTCAACGAAGGGATTGGCGCGCACGACCTCGCATAGCTCCTGGGCGGTACGGGTGATTATGGGAATCCGATAGCCGAAGCGTCTCAAGATCGCCATACTGATGAGGGAAGAGATATTATCCCCCAGCGCCAGCTCACTCCGGAAGAGCACGTTCCCACTCTGAATGTAGGTCCGAACATCTTCGCAGCCGGCGTTCACAAACATAGCGACGAGTTCTTTCATCGGTAGCCTGTTCCTGCCGCCGACGTTAATGCCACGAAGCAACGCAATATGGACGCCATCCACATCGCTACCTTCGTCAGCGGGCATGTTGGCTTTGTTCTCTGGCAGTTCTACCGCTTGTCCTTCCGAGTATCAAGACACGTTCCCATCCAACTGAGACGTTGGGTTCTTCCTGTGGCATGGTGCGACACATCTTGTGAGAGCCCGTTGACGATTAAGGAAGTTCTACTGCCCCCTTGAGGGAGAGAGGCCGAGGAGAGGCGACCTCCAAAGAAACTGTTTCAAAACCTGCGGTGAAGTGCGTGGCTGTGGCTAACGGTGATATTCCGCTAGTCGTCGCCCTCATCCTAACCTTCCCCAACGAGGGGCAAGGGACACTCTTGGGATAGATACTAAACCAAAGCCACGGTGGAATCTCCTCTTGTGGAGTGATAGAGGACAGGCTAAGGCTCTCCAGTGAAGCTCTTGTGCCTGCAGATTCAGGACTGACCCTTACCGTCACTGGCCCTCAGCCATATGCACATCCCAGCCTGGCTTTGTTTAGGTTCTACGATTGTTAGCTACCGCTCGAAGCGGTCCGCCTGATAAGTTCATGGGATCTCTCTTCTAGTTCTTTCATTAACCGAAGATCAATCTTCTCAACGCCTTCGTGGGCTATCTCGTTCCGATGTGCATTTACTGCCTTGAAGCCCTGTTCCTTTTTAATCTTGCGCCCACAACTGTCAAGGAATCGTTTGCACCGATCATGGAGCCGGAGGTACCAGAGTCGACGGAAGGCATCATTCGTTGACGGGTCCATCTGGAGCGCCTCTAGCAGTTCCTCCAGCGACGTGGCATGCGTTCCAACAAGATCGACCTCTGCTCTGAGATGATCGGCCATCAATGCGATCTGATTGGTTTTCTGTTGCAGATCCTGTGCTGAAAGTGGGGTCGATAAGGATATCTCCGGACTGGAAGCGCTAAGCCGCAATAGATCCAGCCACTGGCCATCGGTCGTTCGAAAGCTTACTTGATCGGCGATATTGTCAAAGTTTCCAGTCACGCCCAGTTCCATCTTAACCGCAGCGAGCACTGCATTTCGCCAGTGCGGTTTGTCATCGGATGGCGGGACTGGTAACGCACCACCGTCCACAAAAAGCAGGTGTTCGCCGCGTCCGCGGTCGGCCTTCCAGCACTGTCCTTCCGTTGCCGGCCACGCGTTCAGTTCTTGTCTCGTCTGAAGCACTACGTAGGGATTCTCTCTTGGCGTACCTTGTTGGGTGCTGCAACGCTCAGACACCCAGGCCCGGTAGGCCGGATCATTAGCAAACTGGCCCGGTAGATCATTCTGCGCGAAGTACTCCTCGGGGCTTGTCGTGACGCCAACTCTAAAGTCATCGACGTCGACAACGAAACTGGAGAAGACCTCACCAGGAGCGGTGAAGACCTGAGTGACGCGGTAAATCGTCGTGCGGAGACGCTCCGACAGTTGGCATTGGAAAGGAACGCCATTGGGAATTACTGCTGGGATGTTGAACACCATTTCTTTTCCTACCGGCCCGACCCATTAGGCCAGGCCCAAGTTATACTGAACCAAGGCCAAGGTGGAATGCACATCTCGGGATGGTGAAGGACAGGCTAAGGTACCCCTGTAGGGGTTCCCACCCCTCCCACGAAGCGGGACCGCTACTTGCACTGCCCTGCATCTACATGCACATCCAACTTTGGCTTTAGTTTAGATCCCCAGCAGCTTCTCCAGGTTCTTCCAGAGGATGGCATCCTTCTCCTCTTGCGTAAGACTGGGCAGCCCCTGCACCCAGGACACGGGCCAGTCAATGCGCATGTTAGCCGGCCAGTCGGTGCCCAGCACCACTCGGTCCAAGCCCACCGTGTCAATCAGCATTCGCAGGGCGGGCTCGGAGTGGGTCAGACAGTCGTAGTAGAAACGCCGCAGATAGGCGCTGGGAGGTTGGGTGATATTGGTGCGCACGTCGGACCGCACCTGCCAGCCCCGGTCCATGCGTCCGATGCCGAAGCAGGTGTAGCCGCCGCCGTGGGCCAGGCACACCTTCAGGTCGGGGCATTTGTCCATAACCCCGCCAAAGACCAGGGAAGCAAAGGTGATGGCCCGGTCGGTCAGGTTGCCGATGGTATTGGGCAGGTGCCAGCTTTCGGTACGGGCCTCCACCACCGTTGGGTCGCCCTGGTGTACGAAAATCAGCGCCCCCATCTGCTCCACAGCCTGCCAGAAGGGCAGAAACCGGGGGTGGTCAAAGGTCACGTTGTTGACCTTGTCGTCAATCATCGCCCCCACCATGCCCAGTTGGTTAACGGCCCGGTCCAGTTCGGCGATGGCCGCGGGGATGTCCTGCATGGGCAGGGTGGCAAAGCCCTTGAACCGGTCGGGATGGTCCATGGTCAACTGGTGCACCTCGTCGTTGCAGTCCCGGGCAATGGCCAGGGCAACGGCGGGTTCGCGGTCGTACATATAGAATGCGGAACTGGTCGACACCACCTGGATGTCCACGCCCAGGGAGTCCATGTCGGCAATGCGCTGTTCCGGCGTCCATTCCTCCATGGGGTCTATGTCGGCTTCGTCGCTGTCGGCGGTCAAGCCGTGCCAGGTCTGTCCGGCGGCAACGGCCCGCTGAAAACACTGGGGTTCCTGGTGGGCGTGAATATCAATGGCGCGCAAAAGGTGACCTCCTGGTGGGTGTATTGAACGGCGTAGTTGAGAGTACAGGGGCGGGTTGAGGGAGTCAATCGAAACAATACGTTATGTGACCCCATATACATTCCACAAAGCATGTGAGGCCTCCGAACCTCGTTACATCTCCAGTCCAGATGGTTGAGACAGTTTGATTCGCAAAACAAACATTGCATAGGAAGGTATTGCGGCCAGAGTTATAATTTGACCACGAGTTCCATTTCTATCGATCTTTGCGCGCAGGTGCGAGAATGACGACGAAGAATCCAACTTCTGTAGAAGAAAAACTGGATGCCGCACTGGCTGCAATTGAAACTCTGAAAGAGACGGCAGGAGAACTTACCAGTAAAGTTAATTCGCTGGAGGAAATGGTAAAGGAATCCAACGAAATCCTTGTCGCATTCTCTCAGTCCTACTACTGGACACCGGAGTGGCAGGCCAAAGAGGCCCAAGCTGAGGAGGAGGCCCGCTTGGGTCTCGGCAAAGTTTATGAAGACGTAGAAGAGCTAATCGAGGATTTAAACAAGTAAAATATGCCCGGATTCAACCTTCAGCCCTCCCCTCAATTTCATGCTGGCTACCAGCGCAAGGCGCCCGAAGTTCGTGCAGAGTTAGACAATGTTCTCCGCTTTCTGCGAGAGTCCGGGCCGACGCACAACAGCTTAAACAGCCATAGAGTCCAAGACAGGCGTGCCCAAAGAGAGGAAGGTGTGCAGGTCTGGGAGTCTTATGTAACTTGGAGCCACCGCATTACTTGGCATTACAAACCAGGGTTTGTGATCTACTTGCGATCAACAAACGGCCATGAAATTCTGCCGTAGAACCGGCCTTTAGCCCACATCAGCCTTTCTCTAAAACCTGCGCCTCTGCCTATACCTGCTCCCACCTCAGCCACTCCCCCATGAGCGAAAACAGCCGCTCCACGTCCACCACATCCGCCACCGCGACCGGGCCGTCGGTCGCAACCACGTGGCTGGCGCCTGCTTCGGGCCCTCCGGTTTCCACCGTCACGGCTACCTGGCGAGTCGTAATTACCTCCGGACAGAAGGCGGCGGCCATGGCTATCTGGTCGTAGAACAGCATACTTTCCCGTCCCTCGTCGGCTTTGAACCAGTTTTGGATGATCTCCAGTGCCAGCTTTCCAAACCGGTTATTCGCTTTGAGGTTGAATGCCCGGTCGCGGCTGAGGGTTACCTGCCGGCAGGCGTCCAGGTCCACCAAGGTCAAGGGGACACCGGTAGCCAGTACTTCTTGGGCGGCCAGGGGGTCGCAGTAGAAGTTGAATTCGGCGTGGGGCGTGATGTTGCCCGGCGAGTCCACCACACCGCCCATTACCACGAGAGACGCTGCCCGGGACAGGCTACCGGGATGCCGCCGTTCCAGGCGGGCCAGGTTGGTAAGGGGGCCAATAGCCACCAGGGTTATTTGTCCCGGGTGGTTAGTGAGTTGCCCGGCTAGGAAGTCCACTGCCCTTTGTGGCGCGGGTTGGGACGTGGGTTCCGGAAGGCGACGGGTGATGCCGCTGGTACCATGGAAATGCTGGGCGTTGGCGAATCTGCCAACCAGGGGACGGTTGCTGCCCCGAAACACCGGTACATCCGACCGCCCGACAAAGTCCAGCAGGGCCAGGGCGTTACAGAGGCCCCGGGCGTGGGGCACGTTGCCGCCCACCACCGTCAGCCCCACCACTTCCACCGAAGGAGCAGACAAAGCCATCAGGATAGCAATGGCGTCGTCCACGCCGGGGTCGGTGTCAATTATAATTCGGCGCATATTGGAGTATTAGGAATTAAGAATCAAAATCTCAGAAAGTGTCCATTCCTAATTCGTAATCGACTTAAACCTCTGTCAGGTTAACGGGCACCTCTTCCAGGTCGAAGTTGTACTCCCACAGTTCGTCCAGCAGCGCCTGCTCACTATCAGTGATATCCGGCACATCGACCGCGTCGGTGTAGTGCTGCAACTCTTCCAGGTTGGTGAAGTTGGGCAGCACCGACACTATGGCGGGCTGGTACAGGGCGAACTTGATGGCGGCCTGGGCCAGGGTGCGGCCCGTCTCCTCGCCGGCCAGGAACTTCACCTGCTCGACCTTTTGCAAGGCCTCCCGCAGCCACTCCATGCGACGGTGGGAACGGTGGTCGCTCTCGTCGAACTCGGGTACCTCGGTGTAGCGGCCGGTCAGGGCCTCGGAAGCGTGGGGCACCCGGGACAGCAACCCTACCTCGCAGTCCTTGGCAACGGGGAAGAAGTCCTTGGCGGGGTCCTGCTCCAGGATGCTGTAGATGATCTGCAGGCTGTGGACATCCCGCTCCTTCATGGAAGCCTCGCCCTCTTCGTACCAGCCGATGTCCGGGCCCAGAGCAACGCCGTAGTAGCGGATCTTGCCCTCGGTCTTCAACTCTTCCAGGGTCTCGAAGAGTTCATCCCTCTCCAGGGCGTCAATGCGCGGGTTGTGTATCTGGTAGATGTCGATGTAGTCGGAGTTGAGGCGGCGCAAGCTTTGCTCACAGGCGAAGCGGACAAATTCCGGGTCAAACTTCTGGGGGCGCTCCTGGTGGCCGACGCGCGGGGTCAGCTTGTCGTAGAAATCGTAGCCAAACTTGGTGGCGATGACTAATTCGTGGCGTCGGTGGCCCAGCACCTTGGCCAGGATCTCTTCGCCATAGCCCTCGCCATAGGTGTCGGCAGTGTCGAAGAAGTTGACGCCCAGTTCAAGGGCGTTCTCCAACAGCGCAGCACGCTGCTCCTCGGGGATTTTGCCCCACCAGGTAGTGGCCACGGTCCAGACGCCGAAGCCAACCTCGGAAAGCTCAAGTTCGGTACGGGGAAGGGTGCGGTATTTCATGGTTTTTGTTCCTTACGATAAATTCTGCAACACAGAGCTAGGGAAGTCGCCAAGATATATCTAGTCTGGCTTTACGGACGCAGCTAACTCAGACGCCGCGTTCACCTTGTTACCAGTTATTCCATAGATTCCGGTGTGGGAAGGGTCTTCCGGCTCCCCTAAAGTTTCAAACCAAAGTTCTAAGCCGAGTTTGGTTTTACACCTACTTGTGGCTACTTCTACTACATTTAGGACTATAAGAAGGTCATTGGGCTTAACGGTCCTTCCTTTGTCAATTAAAGATCTACGAACTGCAGAAATTGGATGGTACGGTCCGTTAGGTGAAAGTATTCAATCCAATTTGTGGATAGGTACGGTTCTTCGTTTCTAAGGAGGAAAGCGTTGGAAGATAGTATCCCATGCTCGTCGATATCGCGAGGTCTGCGATGTCGGGCAACGTGCTCGTCAGGTGAAAGCTCGTGCTGATTAGATTGGATGGCTACCATTTAAGGAGTCCTGCTTCTACCAATTTTGCGGCTATCACCGTGCGGTAGCCGAATTCGCTACCGCCCTCAATTTCAATGAATTCCCCGAATTCATCAGTCGCCGCGAACATAACTCTATTCTCGTCCAGGAACCACAAACTTGCTCTACGTTGGTCAGGAAATCTCCATTCGGCACAGATCCAGCCTTCTTGCGAGCAAGCCAACCCAACTCTACCATCGGACTCCACTTCACTGAAAAATGCCAGAAAACCATGGGCACTGTCCAAGGTGAGCGGTACGTCTCCATCGTCCAAGTCCTCGTCTGAGGCAAAATAGGAGATGCGGTCAGCTAAAGTGTACTCACCCCAACTGCGTAGAACACTACAGACATCGTCGATGGATTGTACTGCCCCGATCCCGCTTGGAGCCAATTCTCCCGAGGCTCTGTATCCAAGGTCGTTTATCCGGGCGTCTGCCAGATTAGGCCGATATTGGTCTAGCAAGGCTCGAACATAGTCAGAAAGTAACATTCGGTTCTCTTCTTGACTTTCATCCGGCATGAAACAATGCATTCTATTCGCTATATCACGTTCAGATGTTCCAATAGTACGGAGCGTTAATCTCTCCGATCGACTATCTTGAGCCTTGTCTTGGTCCAAAAGTAAAGTTGTTGTATCTGCATTCCTGGGACTTTCAATAAAAAAGAATGCCATGTGCCCCCCGGAGGTAAGCAATACGTTAAAGTTGGGGTATCAAATCTCTGGTTAAATGCTCTTGGCATCGACGCCAGGAATCCAAGTTTGACGCCATCACATCAGGAGAATTTCGTGCTAACTGAAGATGGTAATTGCAGTCAACCACGATGCGCCTGTTCTCGCTTCTGAAATTCAGGTTGCACACCACAAATCCCAATTGTTTCGCCACTTGTAGAGAAGTGGGGTGAAAATCTGAAAAACTCCCGGCGTTGCCCATTAACTTCTCCCGAATCCAGAGGTTGGGGGTTTCCACGGCGACTTCCAGCAACCAATTAAGTCCTATAGCGTTATAGGCAACCAGCTTTGTGGCTTCAACGTATTTTTTGGTTATGGAATGAACCTCTTAAGTCTCCCGCAGGGCCCCGTCAATTGGTTCTTGAAAGATACAGCGATTGCCTTCGGCCTGCAGCGTGAAACCATTTTGGTATTGGGTTTGTGCAACGATTGGTATGTTAATGCCACCGGTTGCAACCCAATTTGCTGGGATTATACCTGCACTGCTTAAAGCCTCAGGCCTGATAGACTGTGGATCGATAGGTGCAGGGGACACTAAGACAACCGAAACATGTCGCATGGTAACTGTTGAGAGCTCAGTCATTATTTCACTTCCTTGATACGTCCACCGCTTCATTATAAGTCGCAGTACCCCAGGTTGCTACCAGCCTCGGCGGCAGTAAGCAGTGCGCGAACCACCAGGCACGAAAAGGCCCGGCTCTTTCCATCACCAAACGTATAGAGCCGGGCCCTTGCAGTTTGAAGTCAATACGGTCGCTTAAGCCCCTACCTCCGAACCTTGCCTGAAAGGCTGATTGCCAAGCCAACCAGTGGGATTACCGAGAACAGCAGCGGCAGCCACCAGTCGCCTTTGCTTACCCCTGAGTAGATCAGGTACGCCAGTACGCCGTCGGCAACTATGTTCAGGGCCAGCAGGAATTGGACAACCTTGATGCCCCCTGTCTTCAGCCCCGGCACTACCGCCAGGACCAGCAAGCCTATGGCCGCCAGCGGGTGAATGCCCATCAACACGGCCCGCTCCCATATCTCGCCACCATCGGCGAAGCCGCCCACGGCACCCGCGAAGCCCCGCGAAAATGAACTGGGCAACGGCAAGTATTATCAGAAAAATGCGCATCAGCAGGCACCTCTGGATTAGCAGCTAGCCTGAACAGGTAGCCAAGGTTTGGTGGTTCGGGGTCAGGAGCCCAGGACAGGTGGCTCCAGGCCTCAGTTGGAGAGGTGGCGGCCAGCGACGGACGCCTGGCCGCCGAAAAACGTCAAGCGGCGGGGTTGGCTCCGGCTCGGCTGCGGCCGGCAAAATAGTCGTAGGCTGCCGTTCCGCCAATGAAAGCGCCGGTAATACCCAGGGTGAAGGGCAGGGTCATCATGAAGGTCAGCATCACCGCCTCCGGCTGCACACTGCCCAGGGCCAGGTTCGTGACCCGCACAATAATCACGAAAGCCAGCAGAAACAGCCAGGCGATGCCCACATACTTGGATACGCGTTTGGTGTTTCGAAAAGTCATGCTTCCACCCCCCGTACTCTAACGAGTCAGTTAGGGGAGAACGGAACGCTTCCAGGTTGCCTAGCCAGCGGCTACAGCCAACCCCAGGCTGCCCTTGATGGCATCCACCTGCCGCTGGAACTCGGCGTCATCAAGTACCGGCTCAAGTTGGCCCAGGTCAATGCGGGGCATTATCTCCACCCAGGATGTGCAGCCGCCGTACTCCTTGATGTAGGGTACGGCTACTGGCTGTTCCATGCGATAGACCCGCAGCAACATAATGGACAGCGGCAGCATGGGCTTCCAGCGCAGGCGGGACTGGCGTATTCGTCGGTCCAGATGTGGTAGGGCGACAGGTCGACGACCTTTTCCTGCGCTTCCACCTCGATTATCTCTTCCGCCTTGGCCCAGTGGCTGAAGGTGATGGACTCCGACCTGGGAGTTTCCTGCAACAGCTTCTCCAGCGCAGACTGATGGTCTGGCTTCAGCAGATCCTCCCGCTGGTGCTCGTAGGTGGGATACAGCAGGAACTCGGGGTGTATGACCCGAAAGTCCTTGCCCTCCTCGTGAATGCCACCCTTGCGCAGGAGTAAAATCTGTTGCCCCTGAGCCAGGGCCCCGACGGTTATGGCCCATTCCTTCAGCGCTATTTGGCAACGGTCTGGCAACATGGCGTTCTCTCCTCGGAGTATTATATCAAAGGTACCATTGATAAATCTTGCTAATGCAAGGGGATTTTAAGGATTTCTTCGCTGGTGCCGACCCTGGCGCGGTTTCAAAGGTAACTGCCAGCGTGTCTTCTGCCCTGGTGTCTGCTAGCCGTTGAATTTGCAGGTGCCGCTCTCCTGGCTCCCCTAACAAGTGTAATTATTCAATCCAGATGAAGGGATTCCAGGCAATCTCCCAAAGGTAGCCCTCGGGGTCGGAGAAATAGCCGGAGTAACCTCCCCAGAAGGTATCCTGGGCCGGCTTGACCAAGGTAGCGCCGGCGGCCACGGCGACATCCAGCAGTTCGTCCACCTCTTCTTTGGTGCGCAGATTGTGGGCCAGGGTTACGCCCGAAAACCCGCTGCCCTCGGTAGGGATGCCGACATCCGCGGCCAGGGCCTCCCGGGGATACAGGGCCAGCCAGGTACCCTTGTTCTGGAAGAATGCGATGGACTCGGTGTTCTCGTCATAGAGGGTCAGGCCTAGCCCGTCCCGGTAGAATTGGACGGAGCGAGGCAGGTCGGATACGCCAAGAGTAATGATACTAATGCGAGGTTCCATAAAATCCCTAGTTTCACAGGAATGGACGGGAATGGAATCGAGCCGCCCCCAAGATTTGCCCAGGCAGCGGCCGGAGCCTGGCGGCCCAGTCCGGGCCCACCATTATTCGCGGAAAGGCAATTAAGTTTCCGTGGACGGACGTTCGGCCAGCAGGTACTCCAGGAATGCTTGTTTGCTGGGAGAAAGCTGCCGCTCCTTGGGGTAAATCAGGGTCAGGGGCCTGTGGCAGTCCCAGTCCACCACCGGCAGGACAACCAGCATTCCGGCGCGAGTTTCGGCAGTTATGCCCATGCGGGAGATAACCGCAATGCCGCCACCGGCCATGGCGGCCTGCTTGATGGCCTCGTTGCTGCCCAGGCTCAAGGCAGCGACCGGCGTCAGGCCCATTTCGGCAAAAGCCTCCTCAGCCGTGTTCCGCGTGGCAGACCCTTGCTCCCGCAGGATGAGGCCGGTCTCCGCCACCTGGGCCGCCGTAACCTTTTCTACCTGAGCTAACGGATGAGTCGGGGCTGCTACCAGGACGATCTCATCTTCCATGTAATCGATAATTCCCAGTTCATCCTGTCCCGCCGTTGGGTGGCGGCCCACCATGCCCAGATCCAGTTCCTGATTTAGGATACGCTGGGTGATCGAGAGGGTATTGCCTATGGACAATTCAACGCTGATGCCCGGATATAGTTGGCGGAATCGCCCGATTGCTTGAGGCAGCAAGTACTCGCCGGGGGTGGTGCTGGCGCCCAGGGCCAACCGCCCGGTTTGGAGGTTGTGTATCTCTTCCAGGGATTCCAGTAGCTTGCCTGACAGGGAGAAGATCTGTTGCGCGTAGGCAAACACCGTTTCTCCCACCTCGGTAATTCGAAGGCCCCTGGTGCGCCGGTGAAACAGGGCTGCACCCAGGAATTTCTCCAGTTCCTGCACCTGAATTGATACTGCCGGTTGAGTGATACTGAGAGACTCGGCAGCCCGGGAGAAACTGCGGTGGGAAGCCACGGCGTAAAAAATGTATAGCTGGTGGAAATTCAGTGTTCCTCCAGGGTTTCCGCCTCCAGAGGAGAACTTCAACTGGGGAAAAGAACTGACGGCTGGCACGTTAACCATGTTGCCTCCCGCTTCCAGCGTGGTTTATGGGATTGCCTGACATGAAGCCGGCAATAAGATGGGATACGCTGTCGGGTGCTTCCTCCGCCAGGAAATGACCGCATTGAGCGAAGGTGCGACATTGGTGGTTGGTCAGTTCGGATTGCCAGACGCCCAATTCCTTCGGACGGAAAGCAATATCTTTCTGACCCCAAAGCACTAGAGAGGGTTTGTTTACAAAAGCTTCCCGTTCGCTCCAAATGGAGTCCAGCCAATCTGAAGCTCCGATAATGTGTCCAGGAAAGTCGGCGCAGGCATACCGGGAGTCCCAGTCGGGCAGGGCCCTGCCGGTAGTGGCGATTAACTTCCGAAGTCAGGATTTTTCGTTCGCCCACCGCCCGGGGCATTACCTGGTTAACGAAAAAGTTAGACCGGCGAATCATGAATCGCCCAATACCGCTGGACATCCTTCCACTGAACAGCACAAAGTGCCGCTCGTTGTTGACGGGCCAGCGCCAGGTGTTAACCATTATTGTGCGGCGCATCCGTTCCGGATAACGCTGGGCAAAAGAAAGCCCAATAGGGCCGCCCCAGTCGGTCAGATAGAGGGTGACATCCTTAAACTGCCGGTGATCCAGCAGGGCGGCGAAGTTCTCCGCGTGGGCTTGGGGATGACTGCTATCCGACGCCTGGCTGCGCTCGGAAAGGCCAAAACCGATGTGGTCGGGAGCGGCGCATCTGAACTGGTCCCGCAGCCTCCTTACCGGGCCCCGAAACTCGAAAGACCACGAAGGGTTGCCGTGCAGGAATACGTTTGGCTCCCCTTGTCCTTCGTCAATGTAGTGCATACGGCCACGCTGCGAATCGAAGAAGCGACTTTCAATGGGAAACAGTTCGTCCGACACCCAGTCCTGACGGATTCCAAACATGTGCTTGCCTGTCATGCTTGCCACCCCAATCCGTCCGGCTCACTTCTACTCATTCAACCACGGACCAACCATTCCTTGTTTGGCTCTAGCCTCAGCAGGTTTGCCAGGTTTCGGGTGGTGGTTTCGGCAACCTCCTCCAGGGTAATGCCTTTCAGGTCGGCCAGGAACTGGGCCACTTCCCGCACGTGGCGGGGTTCGGTCCAGTTGTGGCGATATTTCTTGAAGGGCTGGGGGAATGCATCCGTCTCCAGCACCATATTCTCCAGGGGAATGGCGCGGGCCGCGTCTTGCAGATGGGGCAATCGGGTCAGGGGACGGGCCATGGAGATGTAGAACCCGCAGTCTATTGCCGCCCTCGCCGTGGGTTCATCTCCCTGGAAGTAGTGCATTACCCCACCTACGCTTCCGGCATCCTCCTCCCGGAGGGTCCGAAACACGTCATCGTGGGATTCCCGTGAGTGAAAGATTATGGGAAGCTCAAGACTCTTCGCCAGCCTGATCTGGGCCCGGAAAACCTGGTCCTGAGTCTCATGGTCCGGCGACGTGGGCATATAGTCCAGCCCAATTTCGCTGATGCAGACCACTTTGGGGTTATTCCTGGCCAACGCTTCCAGCTCTGCGTAGACCTCGTCATCTACGGGGCTGTGAGCTTCCATGGGGTGAATGCCAACACCGGCATAAAAGGGGGCATGCTGTTCGGCCATGCGTATACAGGCTCGGGTCGATTCCAGGGTGGTGCCGGCGCACACGATGAATCCTATGCCGGCTTCGGCGGCTCTATCTAGGATGCCCGGTATCTCTTCGGGCCCATACTGATCCAGGTGGGTATGGGCATCCCCAAACAGAAACTGGCCAGACTTTTCGTCCACTCCGTTCGTGGAGGTATTCCTAGTTGTCAACCCTGACATCCTCCGGCACTATCCGCCGCAATTGAAACATATATTACAACCTATAGCTTATACGTCAACCCTTATATACGTTTAAATTTACCTAATATTGCACGACAACTCCCTTGTTTAACAATGTATTAACACACGGCCGGTTTAATCCGACCTTAGCCCCCCACTGGTTAATGCAATAACGCAAGTGCATATATTACAGGCAATGCAACTCTGGCTGTCAAGCCCTTCTGTACCACATTCTGTAACAATGGATGACGGCAACAGGTTAGGTCAGCGCTTCCACGCCTGGAACCTGTCAGGAGGAGGAGAAATTCCAGCCCAATGAGGAAAGCTATTCGATTAACTGCGGATAAGTAGCGGAAGGATGACCTGCTGGATAACAGTGAGCAGCAGGATCGCCACCAGCGGGCTGAAATCTATCATGCCGAAGCTGGGCAGCACCTTCCGGATGGGTGCCAATATCGGCTCTGTGACCTGCACAAATACCTGGGTAATGCTGACCAGTGCCGCCGGAGGGTCGCTGGTCAAGAAAGACAGGACCAGCGTGAGAATTATCCGGCCCAGAATTGCAAGGTAAATGAGGGTGAAGAGAAGGTTGATCAGTTGCAGCGGTTCGGGCATCGAGTGGCGCCTCCTTAACCTTAACCCTGGCCAAGCCTGATGGATTTCAAATAGGCGGCGTTGACCGCGTCAACCACGGCGGCCGGCACACCACCCCGTTCCAACGCCTGAAGACCCTCGGCAGTGGTGCCGCCGGGCGAGACTACCATGTCCTTGAGTTGTCCGGGATGCTGTCCCGTTTCCATCACCAGTCGCACGCTGCCGTAAACGGTCTGCAAAGCCAGGGTACGGGCCATATCACGGGGCAAACCCACATAGACGCCGGCGTCGATCAGCGCCTCAACAAACATGAACACGTAGGCCGGCCCGCTGGCGCTCAGCGCAGTGGACATGTCCAGGTATTTCTCGTCGCTGACGTAAATTTCCTCGCCCACCGTGCCCAGCATGGACCGCGCCTGCTCCCGGTGACTTTCGCTGACCGGTTCGGAGCAGGTCCACAACGTCATGCCGCAACCGATCTGGGCAGGAGTATTCGGCATCACCCGGATGACGGCATCGTGCTGCAGACCCTGGGCCAGGGTGGACATCTTGGCTCCCGCCACGATGGACAGGGCCGCCTGACCCGAATCCAGCTTGCCGCTCAATTGCCCAAACACGGTTGGCAGGTCCTGGGGCTTGATTGCCATCACCACCAGGTCGGCGCCCTCGGCCGTCTTGACATTGTCGTGGTGAGTATGGACCCCGTAACGCTCGGAGAGATAGTCGCGCCGCTGGGGGACGGGTTCGCCGATGACAACGTCCCCGGGTTTAGCCAGGTCAGCGGCCAGCACACCACCCAGGATGGCCTCGGCCATGGTTCCCCCGCCGATGAAAGCTAACCGCATTTAGGCATCTCCCTTGGAAACATTGCTGCGAGACCGGCTCACACAAGCTCCCGCACAAATTTTCCGATTGCAATTATAACATTTGGACAAACTGAGTTCAGCCCTGTACTTCCAGGCACTTTTCGAGCTAAAAGTCGGACAGGCCGTTGCCCCGCGCCAGTTCCACCGCCAGGCGAATGGACTCCAGCATACTCACGTGCTGGGCAATGCCCTGCCCAGCAATATCAAAGGCCGTGCCGTGGTCCACCGAGGTGCGGACGAAGGGCAGGCCCAGGTTGGCGGTGACGCTCTCCTCGAAACCGTACACCTTGACCGGTATGTGTCCCTGGTCGTGGAACATGGCCAGCACGGCATCGTAACGGCCCTCGATAGCCTGGGGGAAAACGCTGTCCGCCGGAATCGGCCCTACCACGTTGATGCCCCGTTCCCGGGCCGCCTGCACTGCCGGAGCTATTTCGTCGGCCTCCTCGTTGCCCAGCAGGCCGCCGTCGCTGTTGTGGGGGTTCAGGCCGGCCGCAGCGATGCGGGGGTTGGGGAAACCCCACTTGACGAAGGAATCGTGGGTAAGCTGGAGAAAATCAAGGATCCGGTCCTTCTTCACGTAGTCGCAGGCCACCCGCAGGGAGCGGTGGGTGGTCAGGTGCACCACCCGCAGGTTCTTGGACATGAGCATGGTGGGTACGATTCTTGCCCCGGACAGTTCCTGCAAAAGCTCGGTGTGGCCGATTGACTGGTAGCCGGCCATGGCAGCGGCTTCCTTGTTCAGGGGAGCCGTGGCGATGCCGTCCACAATTCCGGCCAGGGCCAGTTCGCCGGCCTTGGTAACCCACTCCATGGCCGCCTTGCCGCAGGGTACGCTGATCTGGCCGACGGTAATGTCCTCGGGGTTGAGGTTATGGATATCCACCACATCTACGGTAGTGGGGTCCTCGCCGGCGCCGATGGGGTCGTCGGTCTCCCGTATTATCAGGGGCAGGCCGGTAGCCTTCACCGCCTGGTTCATGGCGTAGGTGTTGCCAATAACCATGGGCCGGCACGAAGCATATACCCGCGGGTCGGCCAGGGCCTTGACCACCACCTCGGGCCCGATCCCGCAAGGGTCGCCCATAGTAATGGCAATAGCCGGCTTTTCCATATCAACGTCAACCATAATATTCAACGCTCCCAGCACAGATAGGGGCAATTTACGGGGGAATTATAGCATGGGGGAAGGAGATTACAGTTGCGCTAGCCCCAAGGCAATTCGCAGCCTCGAGTTTATCGTTTCAAGTAAGACACTGTCCGCTTCTCCCAAGACTCGCAGAATGAGGCGCTTGTGGAGCAGAGCAAGTTTGTGGGCACGGAAAACCGAAGGAGACTTCAAACCAGTATGGTCGAAACTTGGATCAGCTGTTTCCAAATGCAGGTCGGTAGGCAACAATTCTTCCGGCGTCGAGGACGATATAAAGAGGCATAGCACGTCATCAAGACGGGGAATCAGAGTATCAGGTGTTATCACCAACGCCGGTCGCACTTTGGCAGCAGTCAAGTCAGTAAAAGGGTAGCGGATCAGGACTATGCTGCCTCGGGTTACAGGGGAATGTTCCACTGCACCGCCTTCCCGTCTGCAAGGGAATAGATGTCCTCTTCCGGTGCATCCAACCAATCAAAGCTGCCAGAATCCGTGGCCAACTGAATAAGCTCTTCCGGCGAAATGTCATCAGTCTGCATTGGAGGCTCCGGGCTATCACGGCGGGCTACAATAGCGGCAGTGAAGGTTTCGACCTCTTCCTCTTCCTCTGGCGTAAGACGCTTCAGCAGTTGAGCAAATCGATAGTTCATAGCTAAACCTTTGCAGGGGATGGTAACAAAAGTATAGCACTTCCTGTCCGGCGCAAGAGTGTCCAATCACATCCTTTGAGACCATAAGAATCGGCTGCGCACCTTGCCATTTTCAGGGTCTTACGTTGACAACCACTTTACCTGCCGCCCATAGTATGCCGCGTTTACAAGCCCCGCTCGAAGGAAAACGTGACCATGAATCTCAATGTCGAAACAAACCTGGCGGCAGTCCAACGCTCCGTGTCGTTTCTGGAGCGCGACGGCCAGTCCGCCAGCGCAGTTACACTTTCCCGACGCTACGCCACGACGGTCGCGGACCTGTGGGACGCGTGA